TTATTGTCCCCCGCCTTTCGAAGAAAGCAGGGGACTATTAAAATGGGTTCGTCCGTCTGTCTGTCTGTCTGTCCGTCCGTCTGTCCGTCCGTCACACTTTTTGGGACACAATAACTCTCTTCCTAATTGAGCTAGAATGTTCAAACTTCGTGTATGAGTTTATTAGGTCAATGCCTTGATGGAGTTCGAAGATGAGCATATTCCGCTTAGGGTAAGCAGAGATAAGCAATTTGATTGGTTGATGCTTTGGGACACGATAACTCTCTTCCTAATTGGGCTAGAATGTTCAAACTTGGTGTATGTGTTGATTAGGTCAATGCCTTGATGGAGTTCGAAGATGAGCATTTTCCGCTTAGGGTAAGCAGAGATAAGCAATTTGATTGGTTGATGCTTTGGGACACGATAACTTTTAATTGAGCTAGAATGTGCAAACTTGGTGTATGTGTTTATTAGGTCAATGCCTTGATGGAGTTCGAAGATAAGCATTTTCCGCTTAGGGTAAGCAGAGATAAGCAATTTGATTGGTTGATACTTTGGGGCACGATAACTCTCTTCCTAATTGAGCTAGAATGTTCAAACTTGGTGTATGTGTTGATTAGGTCAATGCCTTGATGGAGTTCGAAGATGAGCATTTTCCGCTTAGGGTAAGCAGAGATAAGCAATTTGATTGGTTGATGCTTTGGGACACGATAACTTTAGTTCTAATTAAGTGAGATTGATGAAACTTGGTGTATAGTTTCATTACAGTAATACCTTGACTAAGTTTGATAATGAGCATTTTCTGCTCAGGGTAAGCAGAGCGATACGCAATTTGATTGGTCGAGACTTTGGAAAACAATAACTCTCCTACTTTGATTGTCCCCCGCCTTTCGAAGAAAGCAGGGAACTATTAAAATGGGTTCGTCCGTCTGTCTGTTTGTCTGTCTGTCCGTTCCGCTTATTTGTGATAAATTTATATGTGTCCTCTAATTATTTTCCTATTTCGGCGGGGGACATCAGCCTCACTGTTGGCTTGTTTTTTATACGAATCAAAGAGATCTATCGTAATAGTTTTAAATCTTTCTTTGACATTTGATAGGTCCTCTGGACTATTTATTTCAATGACTATCAAGGGAGACAAATCTTTTCTGTCTTTGACAGATTATAAGATTTTTTCAATTTTTACAAACAGAACTGCTATTCACATTTTTCAAGAATGGTTAGCTAAATATTAGGGAACTTAAACATACATTATGCAAGAGCTAAATCTGATTATTGCAAGTCTTTATTTAGGCTTCAGATGTCATAGAAATTATAAATTAGATCTTTATTTACACAAGCACAAAATCAACTCTGTAGACCCACAGATGGCTTGGATTTAAACAGGATTTCGTTGATTGATTAAATTTTTAAATGGCGTCGTTAGCGGAGATTAACCGTTACGTTGACGTCATACTCCCGGAAATAATTTTAGATCAAGGCTAAATGATAGATTGTATGAAGCGAGACCGCTGTTGAGCGAAGTCGCATGTCAGTCAATTTTGATTGAAAGTTCGATATACATGTATACGGCCTTGATATTTTGTTTAGTTGTTGTTAAAATGAGAGTTTGGATGTCGGTATTATAGGCTACGCTTTTTTGTCACTTGCGTTTACAGAAAAATTATAGAAATTGATAAACATCGCAGCTAACATCACCCCAGTTGAATTACAGCTCCATTGGATCACTGTTCGGGAGTTACGCAGGCCTACCAGTTACAGTACAAGAGTACACGCAGGCTAACAAGAAGTCAGCTATAATTATGCCTCATTGATTTGGTCCATTCTTATCTATTTATTAAAAGTCTTATTTTTAATTTGTAGTAAAAATAAATGTGATACGAATTGAATTGCAACCTCGTCTCAAACCACAGCCATTGAAAACGTTACTTGATAATCAAGATTATGTAGGTGGAGTTAACGCCTGTCAATCAAACGATCGTCTATTCTCGGAGACGGTGAAGAGAGAATTGACTCCCATTTCTAGTCAAAAGTTACAATAGTGATAACTTTGTTCAGAATAAAGTAATTTGACTGAAATTTTCAATATATTCTTCTTTCATCATCTATTTTTGAACTGGCCAACTCTAATAAGAATAGAACTTTATCTATATGGTACAGTAGTAGAATTAAAACTTTTAGACTAATATTAACAATGCAAGACTTTCTTATACCTCGATTTTATTGTCCGCAAATAAGCTCAACTAAAGAATGGAATCACTTGAAATAACATGGTTATATATAGACCTTCTGCTACGAAATAAACAAAACTATTTCAGTTTGAAAAAGAAAAAAGAAGATAAAGTTGCTTTGAAATAATGAGACATTGTTAGAAGTTCTGATGCAAAAATAGCTTTAGAACATTTCCAATTATTGTCACTGCCACCGGTAATATGGCTAGTTTCATATTGTGCTTAATTTGTTTTAAAAGGAATCTTGCTCAAAGTTGGTTAATGTTTTATAGTTCTTGATGGCTTTTCCCAGTGTACATGTACCGGTACATTAAAGGCACAACAAGCCAGATTGTTGACTTTACTGTTATACCAGCAGGATACTTGGCTTCACCCAGGTCCCAAATTTGCCAGGGCCCAATTCGATGGCCTAAAACATTCACAGATTTATGTTTGTTAATTTGTTACCACATATTTGGGGTGGAGCGTGGCGACATCTTTGATTTTATTTATATAGATTAGGAATAGAGGTCGGCAACACTCCCTTTCAAGAGTAACAGGGATTATTAAATATCTATTAAATACCTTTTATTATATTATGTAATTTTAATCAAGCACATCCAAGTATATGAAAAACCTTATTAAAGCATGGGCTTGCTTGTACAGAAAAGATAAAATTATTAGTAGTATATTTGTCTAAGATAAAGAAAGATGGCAGTGTGAAACTAGGGTAAACTTTAAAACAACCATATCTCAGTGAAAACCAGTAATGGGATTTCACCTGTATATTCCAGACATGTCTGACGTTATTTTCCAAACATTCAAAATTTTCTGACCAGATATGGTGAATAATATTCAAAATTCAAAAATTAATATAGTGTACTGAGTGATAACTACCACTCAACCCGATTATCATTGATAGTCGGCTGGATTGATTAGGTATTTAAGTGATCAATGTATTTATCGTGTTATACCATCTATACACCTAATTTGATTAACTACTTAATCTGCCATGATTGACTGATTTAATCCTTTATCGTACATATCATCAATCTAATCTTAAACAGACGTTCTTGCGTCCCCTTTGTCGGACTATTCATCAATCCAATAAGAGTGATTATAATTTTAATCTAATGGTTTCTCCATTGTCGGACATTTTAATCACAGCATGTACCAACTGATAGCATGTATAAACTAGTCATAGATGTCACATATCGTAAGAGTATATAACACCCCAAATCAATGGACAGTCATTTTGTCTGCGATATCTTTTACGTCCTTTAAGACTCCATATAGAAATTCTCATCCACAGTGGCACTTTTCTGCGATCTCGAGTGCCGCACGAAAATCACTTACCATATAAGACAGTGCCTTTGAAGCTCTATGCTATGAGTCACGTACGCCATACGGCGAAGTTAGCTATCCCTTTTTACAAGTGATTTAACTATCAATGTAATTTTAAAATACCAATTCATGAAGAAGAAAATGGTGTTTTCACATCACCACAAGTATTACTATTTTGAACGCCTTTCTTTCATTTGCTGCCGTATAATCCAAGACATGTAATTTTGAAGAAGGTATGGATCGGCAAGCTTTCATATAATGTCTACAATCTTAAAACAGTGGTCTTGTCAGTGATAACCATAGGCGTTCGAGCTGGGGGGGCTGCCCCCCCCATTTTGGGTACCAAATGCTGGGAAAATTTGGGCACACAATTGTATTTTGTAAAAGTTGTACAATAAAAGATATTGTGTTCTTGAATGTGTCCAATTTAACAGCAAATTTATTATTATTATGTAACATACTAAGAACCTAACTACATTTTTTGGGCACCAACCACCACCGCCCCCCCAGTCAAAAATTTCCCTGTACGCCTATGGTGATAACCACTATAAGCTATAATGCAAACAACCTTAATTTACATCACTATACCTCAGTGAAAATCATTATTATGGTACAGTGCATACAACCTTTAAAACACTATGCCTCAGGGAATATCATTACAATGCATACAACCATTAAAACACTATACATCAGTAAAAACCACTAAAATGCTATAATGCATACAACCTTTTAAAACACTATACCTCAGTGAAAATCACTATATGTTCTATAACCTTTAGAAAAGCTATATCTAAGTCAGGGCCGTAACTAGCTCAGAGCAAAGAGGGGGGCGGGAAGTGTTCTCGGGGGTGCTGTAATATTGACGGACAATGCATATCTATTTTTTTATGGTTGAAAATTTTTTCACAGGGGGGGCGAAACTTTTTGCAGGGGGGCAAAGCCCCCCCCCCCCCCCTGATCCCCCCCTAGTTACGGGCCTGATCTAAGTGAGGACTTGAGCAGATCTGTCTCTTATTTTGCATGCAATCTAATTTGAGTACATTGACATCACTGTTAACTTAAATCACAACAAGTTAAAAATTATCATTTGACATACTAGTAAAGATCGCCAAAGTTTCAATGCCTCTTTAGAATCTATAAAATCAAAAATAAAACAATTCATACTTGTTAATGTGTCTGCTAATGAGCATAGATATATCTTACGATTTCAGAAGATCCTCAAATTAATTGGATATGGATTTCTATATATTTGTAAATCTCAAAAGATTTGGTGTTAAACAATATTTCCAGCTGTCAAGTAAATCAAAATGTCATGAGGATTGTTTTTGAGGAGTTTACAATTATCTTGAGAATAGCTGCAACAGTTTTATAAATTAACTACTAAAAATGATGTGTCGTTAAATCAAAACAGATGTTCTGGATGCTATAAATCTAGATAAATAATTGTTTTTTGTTATTTGTTTTCAGATGGTGAAGATGTGAACTTATTACATTGTGAATCAGTGGTAAGATTTTTAATTTACATACTAAATTAGAAATAAGAAAAAAACACACAAATTATTTTTCATCTAACAAGATCAGTGAAAAAATACCATATTATCTCCTTCCTATAACTCTTCAGTGATTTTCAACTCCCGTTGTGTATACGGATCTACCATTGATTTTTGTTCCATCAGAACAACTTTCCTTGTCACCCCCGTAGGCATAAACCCTGATAAGCCATGGTGGATCAGTGAGTAAGATGTTGGCTTGCTAACCTTGAGGTTCTGTGTTCAATCCCGGTCTTGGCCTAGAAAGCTCATTGGGATTATCACCTCTTGTCAGTGGTGCAGGACGGAGGGTCTGGCAAGGGACAATGTTTAGTCATTTGGATGTTACTAGAAATCGATTGGCGCACATAAAAGACCCCTTGACAGTTGGATTTGAAATAATAGTAGGTTGTAGTGTCCATGTCCATCTTTATTATCCCAGTTGGAGCAAAACAGTATGACCTTAAACCCATTTCGTTTCATAACCGCTGACAAATCCGTTTTGCAAAATTACATTTATTTCTGCAACTACCAGTAGTTATCAAAATTCCTATCTAATTACTTTTCATTCTAGATTGTGCCAGTGAAAGATTTTTACACTGAAGTGAGAGCATTAAGAGATGTTCAGTCATATATGGAGAATGCTGTTCTCTTGTTAAATGTTCACGCAGCAAGCCTACAAGATATTATTGAACAGATGTTAGATAAAGTATTAGGTTCCGTTAAAAGGCCAAAATTTACCATAGAAACTGCCAAAGATGCCATATTTACCAGTAATTCAGGTTAATAATTCATCATTTATCTCTATTTTTATTTTAGAGAAGTAAATGATATTGCTTTCTGGCATCTCACGTTGGATTATTGCAATATGATACATGTACTACAACCATGTACATGTATCAGTGACTTATTGTACCAAGTACTAATTGGTCTTATTGCAACCATACACCAGTGACAGATTCAAACCATTACCAATTGGTCTTATTCAGATGATGTATCAAAGTCATATTCAAACCATACTCCAATGACATTTAAACCATGCTCCAATGCATTCAAACCATACTCCAGTGACATTCAAACCATGCTCCAATGCATTCAAACCATGCTCCAGTGACATTCAAACCATGCTCCAATGACTTATGCAAACCATGTACAAAGCCATTATTATTTCAAACATATATCACTGACTAATTCTAGCTCTAGGCATGGACCCATCACTTACAAAATCAGATCATAGCAATGATTTATTCTAACTATAAGAGAGAGAGAGAGAAATAGGGTTTAACGTCCACTCGACACAAACTAGGTCATTTCGGGACTAACATATGCTTTAATTTTATTTCAATAATTCGCTTGTGCGTAGGGGTCTTTAGCAGTGGAAGGAAACTGGAGGACCCGGAGAAAACCCACGAGGTTAGACAGGCGACCCTACTCCTTGTCACATACAACCGGGGATTCGAAACCACGCCAGTCGACTCAATGACAGACTTTATGATACAGCGCGTGCACGCTTAACTAGAAGAATTAGAAACAGAACAACATATGTAAATCTGAGATTAAAGGAGCTAAATCGCTAACATTTGGGACCTAGAAATTCACAAAAGTGGGTCGCAACGCATATAATACTGTAATATGAATGTATATAAACTGATTTACATTTAATGGTTTCCGTTTTTACTCCAATTTCAAATCAGTTATGTTCGGCGAAATAAGTCAGCAATCATAATCGAGTGCAAATTTCTAGAGTCTAGTTATTCTAGTCTACATAACTCCATTTGATTTGGTGCAATGTGTCTAGCCTCGTCCCTCGAGTCTCTCAATACAACTGGGGCTGAAGCGCATTATGGTACACGATTCGTGTACCAATGTTAAAAAAATTATTTTATCTTAAATATCGGATATCAGAAGCTCATCTTTTCCCGGTAAGTTTACATCATCATTGTTGATTTAAATTGACCAATAATTCGTGTTTACGATGTCGAAGATTTTGGAGGATTTTGAGTTACGGACTTAGGTCCTTTAATGGTATTGTTATATATTAAAACAGGAGCTATACTGTCACAGACTATACAAGGTACACAAGTTGATGATAATTCTGGTGATTCACAGTTTGATCAATCATGGATCTGTATATTGTAAGTTTATTTTATTTTCAATCTTCGAACTGTTATTGTTTTGAGGAGGAACCATCATGATCCAATAGGACAGACCATTACAAGAAAAATTTGATCACAATCAGATTATGATCGGTTTAAGTTTTATTCCTGTTTTAAGATTCGTATGTGTGTATTTTAATCTGAGTTAAATCCGATGCAATCCTTGAGATATATGACCGGGGAGATATAACACTATATTGTAATGTAATCAACTTTCAATCAACGAAATGTTCTCACAGACAGTGTGTTATTTATAGCTTATCAACCTATTGATTGTTATTCTTACATAGATAGCTAGGTGTAATTGATTGACTTGTAGAAATAAAACAGCGTTTTATTTGTTGTCCAACTTTAAAATTTGCTACATGATAGAAACACAAAAAATGTGTATAAGGTCTACCATGCTCAATTTGGTTAAACTATTTTAACCTATATGGTACTTTGGGTTTCATTTCCCATAACTCTCTACAAATTTATGGCATCTTAATCAAAAGAAACATGTCAGATTTGAAAGTAGTAGACCTACAACGACAGAATGAAAATGACATCCAACTTTAATCGGAATTTGTCAAGCAGTTGGAAATCTAGATATTTTTGTAGATTATGATATCATACAACTTAGTCTGACCTCAGTCAATAGATGTAGTGTTTATTATCAGATAATAATGTACTGATTAATTTTGCCAAGTTTTCATCTTTTTAATTACTATCCACTGGACGTCCCAAATGAAATCAAGGAAAATTTGTTAAACAAAGCTGTCCATGACCACTGACAGACAATCATATGTTCTAACCTGTCAGTGTAGAAGAATAAAGTCATTTTCAGCAATAGGAATCTCTTTCAAACTACAATATTGGAATATTGGTCTAAAAAGTTATGTTGAATTAAAATGTCATTGAGCTGTCCTCTCCGCCCTAATTTTGTTGTGAGCAAACAGAAATGATGAGACCTTTTTTAAAATCAGATTGAATCCAAGTCAGGGTGGGGGTGGGTATCTACCATTGATATTTTGATTATATTTTCTTAATTAAAAATATTAAACTATCGATCTGAGAACATTTTATCGTGGATTAATCAGTCTGAAATTTGTTATTTTAGCGAAAAACAGAAATGATGCATTGTTACATTAAGCTTGAGTTTTGTGAATTTGAGACTAGACCTATAGCAACTAGCAACCATACAAAATCCGCTAATGGAAAATCACATCCAAACCTTGATGGTTAAACGCACCTATGTAGTTCCAGCCCAACTGATATATCGACTGATATATTAAAACTAAGCGAAGTATTAATGATAGAAGTCAGAATGTAGACTCAATTTAATTTGAATATTTTTAGATATGATCTGCCTAGCATTACAGAACGTTATGTATATTATATATATTTTTTAGATGCGATCTACCAAGTATTACAGAACGCTATGTAGCCATAGCTAAACTATACGAACCAACTAATTTAAGCGCTAATTGTCAAGAAGGCAGATTTGTTGTTTTAATTTTAACACCAACCATAGAAGTAAGTGTTGTTTTATACATAAAAATGTTGTTCTTTATCTTCGATCACTGAATTTAATGTACCAGGTACTATTCAATCAGAAAGTAATTACCTTAAACATTAGGTTTTAATTTGTTTTTGTATCAATAGTGTTTCCCTTAAAATATAAGAAGTGCATGATAATTTGTCATGTCTGGGGTATTTTTTTCATGAAGTCAAAACTTTTAAAGCACCTTAGAACCTTGATTTTATCATCTACCAAATTTAGGAGACTTTTCCCTTTTCTAAACAATTGTACTCTTAGATGATTGTGCTAATTTATTGAAATTTTCATTTCCAAAATTATTTTGAATTATTTGGTCAATGACTTTTTCATTTATTGAATTTTGTTTGAAGAAAATGACCAAAGGACCCATGGAAACCGGTCGAACATTTGCTACATTGTTCATGGACCTCGATTTTAGACAAGAAATGTTAGATGTGCGAACAGAAAGAGATATGAAATATTTATTAGAAGATCGCATGAAATACTTAATCACACACCATGGTTTACCGGAAAATCGCAAATCAACTCATAATTTTGTATCAGTTTTTGATGATCCAGCAGAAGTAAGTCTATTATTAGAATAGTTTAGGGTGATGACCAAGTTGTATTTTATCTAGAAGGTATTATTTGACCAGAAATTATATTTGATCACTAAGTCCCTTGATTTATCTGTGTGTTATTAGTGATTGTCAGGGACTTGGTGCTGGCTCATCAACTGGGATGTCACCAGTTCGATTTTGGTGTTGGCTGAGAAAGATAGTTCATCAGGATTTTTAAGTCTAGTTTTAACTTGTCAATAGTGTAGGATGGAGGGCCATTATCGGTCTGATGGGACAAAAAATTGAGGTCTCATGTATATCATTGACAAAATGTTACAGATCACCTGACAGTTGGATATCTTACTAAGAATAGGTTGTAGTTCCACTATTATGTCAAAATGTCCCACAAAGTATAGGATACTGCTTTAGCCTGATGGGTGCAGTAAAGTAAAACAATAAACCCGTTTCATTTTTTTCAGAAGATAGCACATTTTGTTTTGGGGATCACAGTGGCTAAGCGGGTAAGAGGCTGGCACGCTAGCCTGGAGGTCGGGTGTTCGATCCCTGCATTGGCCGAGAAAGTTCATCCAGATTTTCCGGCGTGGTTCCCCCTTGTCAGTGATGCAGGACAGAGGGCCTGACAGCTGTCTAGTCATTCGGATGAGACGAAAAACCGAGGTCCTGTGTACACATTGGCGTGCACGTAAAAGATCCCTTGACAGTTGGAATTCGATATAAGAATAGGCCGTAGTGCCGCTGTCCGGGCAAAAATTTCCCTCATAGCACACTGTATGGCATATGCTCGTCTTCATTAGCCCAGTTCAGAGCAAAACAGTAGGACGTTAAACCCCATTTCATTTCATTTCATTACATTTTGTTTTACTATTATAATAAATATCACAGGTATTGTCTTGTTAGAATAAGTAAACACAAAGAATTCATTGTCTAGCAATGAAAGTAGGCAGTAAGCTTTTACTGGCATCACTTAGAAAAACAAGGAGAAAAGTATGAATTATCAATCATAAGGATAAATCAGTACAATAGTTTACAGGACATGGCTAGGAGACAGTATACAAATTTGAATAGAAAAATGGTAGCACCTACTTGTCTATATGTTAGTATGTTATCCTGTCATGTATAATAGAAGATCTGAGACAGAAATCTTATTAAAAATTCATTTGTTGTAGTCAGGAAGTAAAGTGCCAATATTTCAAGGGTTATTGGGTGATTTGAAAAGACGTCTGCCTCACTATTTATCAGATTATAAAGATGGTGAGTTTTAAATAAGTGATTTTTTTCCATCAGAGATAATGGCTTTTAATGGAGACGTTATATGCACATAATGATTATTTCATGTTATGAGTAATGTCTATGACCTTTTCCAATTCTGTGGTTTTTGATAAGCCTATATTACATTTGTAAGTACTGTATATATTTTCATCACTATTCTTGTAAATGCTCTAAAGGTCAAGAGTTTTATATGCCCTTCTCAAATTTGCTTAGATTCTCTGGCTAGTCCTAAGGCTGAAACTTATTGAAATTATAAACACCCTACAAGGCAGTGTTTTTGAAGAATGAAATGTTAGGCTAGTACTGAGTATTGCAATCATTTTTTACAGAGTAACTATCCCTGTCGCTGAAACTTGCCTGGATTATTAGACTATTCTTAACGAAGCACTCTATCGAAATTGAGAATTTGTTTCAAACTAGCTGGAATTGTTTGACTAGTTCTGAGGAAGAATCCCATTGAATTTGAGTCATGAAAAGTTTTTTTTTGCAGACTTATTGACCTTGATTTAAACTTTTTTTTAAAAATACTGCTGGTGGGCATATATTTACTGGTAGGCCACGATATGTTTTTTTTAATATGGCAGTGCAGGAAATATGTACAACAAAAACAACCAATAACAATTACATGAAAACAGCATTACAATGAGCAAGTTCCAACGTTCTAAGCAAGTTTTAATAAAAAAATTTGTAGACCTAGACCTGTATATACTGTTACTACCTTGAAATTGTTTTAATTAAAACTTCCACAACACTTCAGTATTGATTTGATAAATTTAATTTTGTGTTTCACATCAATGTCAGAATCCACTTTCATTGTTATTTTGTTGAATAATAAGTCATTGGTAGTAATTAGAAATACAAGTCTGCAAATTTAAAATGCTTGGTCAACATAAACAAAATTTTTAACTGTAATTTAAGCAATATCTTTGAAATCTTCATCATATATTAACTGTTTGTATGAGTTATATACTTTTATGTGTTTTGATTCTAGGTATATTTGGTAAGAAAACGCCCCATAAAGTAGTAGCTACCACACTCTTTCTATATTTTGCCTGTGTTTTACCTAATGTGGCTTTTGGTATGCTCAATAGTAATAATACAAATGGTGTCATAGGTCAGTATAGATCAAATTGAATGTTTCAAAATATTGCACAAGTCTGAACGTATACTCTCAATTCACATTTTTAAGTTGTTACTGTTGCCCCTTTTAAATCTGAAAAAAAAACACCTTTTATATTAAAGCGATGTTATGGAAGATTATATAAAGTCATGGCTGACAGTTAAAAATAAATATGTAAAGGGAATATGCTGAAAATTTCAGTGCCGAGAAATCCCCATGGCAAGACCATAATCAATTCAACAGATTTGAATCTGTTTATCATCGTAACAACGGAAATAATGACAATTGAGGCTTCAGAGTGAAGTAACTTGACTGAAATTTTCAGCTTATTTCTTTACATTATTATTTTTTTTAAACTATCATAGTGGGAACTGTCAGCTCTTTATCTAATCTTCCATAATGCCACTTTAAGAGTTTATATAACATTTAAGGCATAAAGAAAGAACTGCAATGGTCAGATTTAGCTCTTGAACAATGTATGTTTAATATCACTAATTCTTCTTATGTCTCTCAAACAAATGAAAATGATCTGTTTTTAACATAAAAAAATTGAAGCCACAGTGAGTATAGTGCTCGAGTATAGGTTAGATCTTGGTATTGATCAAGAAAGTTTCCCTCGATTTTAAGGCATGGTTTCCCCTTAACTATGGTGCAAGATATGGGTCTGGCAAGCAAGAGCATCTAGTCATTTGGATGGGACAAAAAAAACTGTATTCCCATGTATACAGTTAGTAGCACAGGAAAGGTTGCTGTCTAGGCTGTCCCAGATAGCATAGCACATATGTCCACATTAATTAGCCTTGTTAGTATTGTGTATTTGGGGGTATAACACAAAGGTGGTAGAACAAACAAGTTAATACACAAAATCATCTCCATTAATTGTATTCTGAGAACCACACAAAGACATAAGTTATTTACAGCAAAATCACAATCACATCTTATTCGAGCGCTTCAACGACACAGCAAGAAAAACAAAAACTCCTGACTCGAGAGTTATCTTTCCTCAACCTCGATTTCGTATTAATAAGGCCATACCACTTTAATAGGTCAACACATAATAAAATGTATGCTTCTCAATCAAAAAACTTTGGTATTGATCTATTGACTGGTTGGCTAGTAAATAAAAAGGCTGGTGGAAAACTATGGAATCGGCAAAATTGACCTGGGCTGTATATTTGGAAGTAAACACCTTCTCAAAGGACTGCCAAGAAAGTTTAAAAGCAGGAGGTAAATGTAAATACCAAATACGGGCTGGACCTCTCAGCTGTAAATGGAAAGCAGCAAGTTTCTGTCGATCTGTGAGTCCTTGAAGTAAACAAAACGAGTCAAACTCTTCTAAAAAATATGTTGGGTTTTCTTCACCGGAAAAGGTTGAAACCATACTGATGCCATGAAGTTTTGTTGGTAAGCTAGAGGGAATTGGTACTTGGTTATCAATGTGTTGAGTTGAGCGAACAGGAGTCAGTAATGGTGGCCCAGTTGTCAGCGGAGATGGTACTGGTGAAGTTGGATACATGGCAGGTGTCTGTTCAAAATCATTAATATACGAATAGTGGTACATCGGTGTGGTCGACATATTTACACAGGTAGGGAAACAAGCAAACGATAGGCAGGTACTCAACAATGTTATAAACAGGATGACTTGATTGTTGGCCTTCAAAGGTAGGAAATGGCAACACCAAAAAAACACGTGGTTTCATTGAGAAATTTATCATTCAACAGCAGTCAGCAACAAGTTTTAGCATCTCCACCATATTGTGTATTTGGGGGTATAACACAAAGGTGGTAGAACAAACAAGTTAATACACAAAATCATCTCCATTAATTGTATTCTGAGAACCACACAAAGACATAAGTTATTTACAGCAAAATCACAATCACATCTTATTCGAGCGCTTCAACGACACAGCAAGAAAAACAAAAACTCCTGACTCGAGAGTTATCTTTCCTCAACCTCAATTTCGTATTAATAAGGCCATACCACTTTAATAGGCCAACACATAATAAAATGTATGTGAATACATAACATTAGTGTAGAAAAGTACAATGGTCCCCCCACACACACACACACCATTCCATTTAAAAATACTAGAAATTACAGTGATATAGTTAGATATTTGTATTTTCTGGTGTGTAAAATGACCTACAGACAACTTTCTCAACTAGATGCTTTTAATGCAAGCCATTTATGTTATTTTGATGCAGGTGTAAAGAAAGTTTTATTTTCTCAAAGTGTTGGAGGAATAATATTTGCTGTATTTGGTGGACAGCCATTGATAGTTTTATTAACAACGGCACCTTTAGCTCTTTATACCAAAAGTAAGTTAATACTTTCTGAACTGTTATATATTAATTTCTCCCACTTGGTAATTTACTATCAATGTTTTATGTACATTTGTATCTGAGCATTCTGATTCCTTTTTTATAAGATGTTGTGTACGTGACATTTAGAATCATTTTCTTTGATTGTCAAAATAAAGCTCTTCATTTTCTTTCAGTTTTTTACTTAAGCCGTAAATAGTTCATCATTTTCTTTCAGTTTCAGAATTAGGTGTTCATCATTTTCTTTCAGTTTTAAAATTAACCTATTAATAGTTCATCATTTTCTTTCGGCATCATTTTCTTTCAATTTCAAAATTATCTGTAAATTTTCATCATTTTTATTGCCTAAGATATATTTTATATTCCAGTTATCTATACAATATGTCTGGATTTTGATCTTCATTTTGAAGCAATGTTTGCCTGTGTAGGAATATGGAACACATTTTTTCTATTGGTGTACGCTATTTTTGATGTTAGTAAATTGATGAAGTTTTCTTCAAGGTTAGATTTTATATATAAATTCCTTTCTTGGTTTCATGCCAATTTATATTGTCATGGAAAAACTATAGAGTTTGTTGGAAAATTTCTGATATGATTACAAAAACTTAAAATGCTTGAAAAAACCATATGAGTAATCTTCTGCTGTTTTAACTTCGCAGATTAGATGGAATCATGTGCTAAGATTGACTAGTCAGTAGAATTGGAATATTCTGTCAACAAGTGAGAGAGTTTTTAGTGCAATGTGGTCGTTTTACACCAGAAATGTGTCAGATTTGTGGAATATAATTCATAATAAAATTGAACCATGATACATTGATTCAACAGTATATCATTTCAGAACTAATACAAGGTTTAAATTAAAATTGATTCAGATTATCTTCTTTTTTTTACAGATCAACAGAAGAAATATTTTCAATTTTTATTACATTTGCTTTTTCTGCCGATGCAATTGTAGACGCCATGCATGGTAAAGTACCTAAACCACTCTATGAAATTTGTAATTTTTTGATGGCAAATATTGACATGTTAGAAATACTGTAAAATAAGAAGTTATTAATGTGAGCAACAACCAAATGCATTAAATATGACAAATTTTTGTTCTGTCAGAACAGTAGGACGTCAAACCCCATTTCATTTCAATTCTGTCAGTTTCATCCCATATTCATTTATATCTATAATCAACTATTGCAACCTTCAAAACAATTAAAGCCATTAGTTCCATTTCCAACACCAAGGGGCAGAGTCATGTCCAATTTTTGTGTTTATCGTCTACAGGTTGCAATTCTGAATGGATCATTTTGTAACTTTGTATATTTATTCCTTTTACCGTAAAGACAACAACTATTAATTTTTGTGCATGCCCCGACACCCTGGGGCAGTGCCACACCCACTTTTTTGTTAATATTTAGTCTGTAAATTTGGCAAAACAAACCCAATGACTTGCCTTCTTTGCCTCTTGTCATATTACAGTCATTGCAGCCATTTCATATTTTCATTCTCTTCATTTTAAAAAGTACCATATCAAGCAAAGCGGGAATGTGGCCATATATTGCAGCGGTAGCGATGCTCTTGTTTACAGTATGAGTACCCATAGGTGACTCAGTTCTGTTATAACAAGGTTTTATTTGTCGGTTTGGTTATAACAAGGTATAACAATTTGTCGGTTCCGTTACAAGGTTTAATTTGTCGGATCATGCCATAAAGTCTTTGTATGATCGTACTGCAGGTTCAAGGTTTAAGTTCTGAAAGACTTGTCTATCATATAGCCATTGCATTTTCTGTGATATCGTCTTAATAGTCACTCGCAAGTTGTATAGTTTGGAATTCATAATTAAGTGATAAAAGCATACTGTTAGTTAAGGTCAACTCAAACTATAATATTGAATTAGATTCAGTGTAATTTCATGTTGCAAAATACAAGACAAAACTGTGATATATATATATACAGTATATCATCCGCTGTTTGTCTTATGACAAAAACTGTGAATGTCTTCTGGCGGTTTTCAGTAGCCAGACTACGATAGTTTATAATGGTGTCGGTTGGCATAATTGATGATATTAAAGATGCATTATTTTTATCTCAATCGTACATAATGTATCTTTAAGGTGAGTCTTTGTAAAGACTTTACTTTTAAACATATACCAACTAATACTCTTTCTTGTAGATTTTAACAAAAATTACCACACTGGACCTTGTAATTCATCACTTGAGGTCAATAGTACACTATCTAATATGCCTGTAGATGTAACTAATCACACCTTAATTACAACTTGTCAACCAGAAAACAGTATTCTCTTTCTCTTTTTAATGCTGGGAACGGTCTGGGTTGGATTAACATTATTTCATTTCACTAAAACGTAAGTATAATTTGTTGGGCTTTGGTTTAAAATAGAATATATGGGTAAACCTAACATTTAGAGAGTTCCATAAAACGATTTTAGCAAAATATCGCAATATTTTTGCATAGCAAATGACTTTCTGCACCAGAAGTGGACCTTCATCAGTAATTTAGTACCACCAATATTATAGTACAGGCAAACCAATTTGAATTTTAATTAATCTTTTGGGATCTAGATAAGTAGCATGTCACAAGTGCTATTTTGTATTTCAAAACATCAAAAGAGCTTTAGAGAAGAAAAACCAAGTATTTTTATACACCCACATTTTCATGTGCCTTTGAGTTTGTGTGTCTGTTCACATTTTGTTTGTGTACACTCTAAAGGACACCATTTTTATCTGATTTTGATAAACTCGAAATATAGCTTTATATCCCAAACATCTCCGTCCTTTTGATATTCATAATGAATTGAGTGTAACTTCATGGATTATAACCCCTGATTGTATGAAGAATCACGTTTTTTGCTTGTGGACACTCTAGAGGTCACTTATACCTTGCTCAGTTGGATTTTTAACTAACTGAAGTTGTGTTAAACTTTAAAATAAGGCACAATTCACATATTTGATTCTATGAACCATACCTTATTAAATAAACTTTTAACTAATCTTTTTTGCAGACCATATCTGAATACTGGAAAGAGAGAAATTTTAGCTGATTATGCCTTACCTATAGCCGTCTTGTTTATGTCTTTCATCGGTTCCTATGTGTTTAGTGATATCAAATGTAAGCAAGTTCAATATTCATATCACTGTTTATCATTTCTTAAATTTAATTTTACGTTTTGGCACGTGTTTGAAATCATTTCTATTATCAATTATTTAAGATTGGAATAAGTAAATCTCAATTTGTTAGATTTGAAATTAAATCCGGTGGGTCATACTTAGTGGTTTGAGTGGGCTGCTATTGATCCATGCTCCCCCCCCACTTCCCATCCCACCTGACTTGATTCTCAGTCGTTGACTATTTATATACCAGACACGCCAAACAACTGACTTAATTAAACATTACTTATTGATGTGTTCTTTCCTTAACACTCCACTTCCCCCTTTCTGAATTCCTAACTATACCATGGCATCTAAATAATTATTTATATTATTCTTCTATTACAGTGGAACCATTTAAATACAATCCTAATGAAGCTATGTTTGAGCTAGCGCCAATACATACATTACCAATTGGAGCTGTATTAGCCAGTGCCGGTCTAGGTTTTAGTCTTTCACTACTCTTCTTCATGGATCAGAATATCTCTAGTGCTTTAGTCAACACCCCTAATCACAGGTTAGATCACAACAATATTAGAGACACTTAAAACAGTCACAATTATAAATACCTTAGCATTCATTGGGAAAGTTTTGGCCAAATATGTTATATTTTGCAAGCTCAGTTTATGTTGGGTTTTTTTGTAGCAATTATAGTTCATTTGAAAGACAACGGATGGATAAATGCTGGCACCACGCCAAATTTGAACCTATATCTATATTTCCTGGTCATTACAAATTCCATACTTTCAGATAAACCTGATTATTCTTTAAAAAATACAAATACTGTAATTTATGGTACAGACTGCCGACTAATTGCATTTTGAAGTCGCACTAGCGAGTTATACAGGTTGTATGATATATTAATTCCGAAATGAGCTGGTTTTTGTCAAGTGGATGTTAAACCCCATTTCTCTCACTAGAGTGGGAACGAGTGAAAGAAATTGTATCAGATGTAGTCCCGAAATGAATTGTTTTTTGTCAAGTGGATGTTAAACCCTATTTCTCTCACTAAATTGATCATCACTGTAATTTCTAAATCTAAACAGTGTAGCACCATAGGCCTTCTGTCTGACGTGGAGAGCGGACCCAGTACTAAAACCGGTCGCCACATCCTACATACGACCCATGCATCTTTTCTTACTACATATTTCTGTAGCCTTGTGATCGTCTAGAATTTGTCTCTAGCTGTCTTTACTTCTGCTTCACGTTGTGTATTTACTTCTTATAGTTTCTTAAGACGTTGTCTTACCAGGAATAACAATGCGACAGTTTGCTTCTACATTTTATATATATATATATATAGCTGAATACAGGTATACAAGCATAATAGATAACAATACTAGCTAAAACTATTTCTCTACCCTAGCCAGCCTCGCGGCTGTCTAGGAACTCAGATGTAAGCTCTCTGGAACCTAATAGAAGCCTGGCGAATTCTCACCAGTATCCCAATTTTGTATCTACTGGTTTTGGACATTCAATTATCCAATTGGTCAAATATGATGTAAATAATTATAGAGATTGGTTAATTGAGCCCAATGACGTCAACAACCCACCCTTATATGGTGGAATGGAATTTTACTGAAGAATATTCTCATGAGATATCTGTTAACATGTTGTTGACATAGAACCAGTTATGTTATGGCTCTACAAGTGTTTTTATATCACAATATGTCATTTAAACCCTAAGTTGATTCAAGTATTCTAAGTACATATCACATATTATGCGAATATGTTATTTCTCGAGCAAAAATTCTACTAAAAGTATTACATTCCTCCCTTTCTTTAAGACTTTTTGCTCGGTATTGGGTAAAAGATCCCTTGAATCCTTTACAATAACCATACCAACATCTGTAGAATTATATAAATATTCATAAATGTAGCAGAAATCTAGAAAATCAACATATATCACCTCCCCCACTTGCAAGATTTATGCTAAATGAACAGGTAAGAGACTCTTAAAACTTCTATGTGCTAAACCCTATAATTATTCATGCAACAGGCAAATATCAATGATACTATACTATATAACAAAACTGTGAAAACACAGACACACATAATCAAAAATCAAAAGTTGCATGCAAAAGTTCTCCAAAAAGTTCATCACTGTAAAATCCTATGAAAATTCACTAAGCCTAAACACAGAAAACACAAATTGTCTTTTTTAAATCTTCAAGTGTCCTAATTTCAAAACACTATAACACAACACGAATTATTTATAAAGTTCAGGTTTCACTTTAAATTCTGTCTCAGGAAATGTCAATTTGGTAAACTGGTAAACCATTTCTTCTTCTTGGATTTGTATTGGTCTGTTTCAGCTACCATAGTGTCAAGTTGAAACTGTCTTTTTTTTTCTTCTAAGTATGATTGGTTTGTACAATTTTATCCGTCAATCAAAAATGTCATTGCCATAAGACCAAGAACTAACAATTCCTAAATCTTTATTTTGATATTAGTCTAACATTATTATTTCGAAAAAGTATTTGTAAATCTTACTCTTAATTAAAATTAAATTTTATTTAATTATTAAAAAAACTTTGATGTGTCTCTTTAATTATAATTCTTCAAACTTACTTTAACCTCTTGACCTGAACTCGATCAGTAATTTTATAATTGCGTTTTCTGTTTTAGAATTTCCGTTTGTGTTTTATAATTCCTCCATTATTATTTTATATTTCTCAGTCAGTAATGTGACCTTTTTGACCTAATCATTTACAATTTTGTATTTCGTTTTTTATAAACATTCCTATCAGACTGACACTGACACAAGCTGAGCTCACACCTATGACAATACCAGACTTTAATTTATCTAGAATAGAACTGTCAATCAAATATGGCCAGTATATGAATGACATTGTATTTCGTTTTTTATAAACATTCCTATCAGACTGACACTGACACAAGCTGAGCTCACACCTATGACAATACCAGACTTTAATTTATCTAGAATAGAACTGTCAATCAAATATGGCCAGTATATTCCATTATTAGTAGTATATAAACATTATTTAGAATCATGTTCAAAGCAAGTGACGTGCACTTCACTCCCTCGGAACACCAGTCTATATTCTATAAACAAAACAATTAGAACATACCAAACTTTTAATAACACATACAGTTAACTACATACAGTTAACACATACAGTTAACTATAGTATGAATACTATTGTTTATTATAATTCGACCTCATGTCAAATTACACATTCCTAATCATTGCGTACATGTCGACAGCTTAAAGCAATTAGCAGTATGTATTAAACGTTAATATTATGTTTCCAAAGCAAAAATTTAATTACATAAAATTATATACGGACAAAATTTACCGTATTCCTCCACTTTTCTAAAAAGCGTCGTATTCTTACTATAACCTCCTATTAAACTCGTATTGATGACTTTGTGATAATCTCACAATTTAACGAGCCTTTAATTTTAGTTTTTTCCCAGGAAAACTATAACCAACATCCCTAGATTAACCATATGGGATTTTTAACATAACCTAACTTTTTAATCAAAAGTTAAATTACAACAACTCTAAGGCCTGGACTAATGGCCTTAAAATTATATAGTATACGAAACAACAAAAAACACAAATTAACGAATCATAGTAGAAAGTACGGCCAACTAGGAAACTAGAGTTAATCACTCACAACTTCATCCTTAGATCTGCCGTCTTCCCACTGCGATCCGGAGACAACATTAGTTCCTTACTTTATTCCCTATTCCATTTCCTTATTATTATTATTCCTTAGTTATATTAAAACAATTTTTTTTTAAACCTACGCCCTAGAGACCCTCACTTTAACTTAAATTTTATTACTCAAATTTACTACAGGTCATGTTAACCTGATAATATACACACCTAACCAGTGATATTATATTGTTTAATAAATCTATCAACCTCAACCTGTGAATGATTATATTTTATTCTCTAACAGTTAAATTTCAAATATTTAGATTCTAATCAGATTTTAAATTTAAATTAATATTATTTGGTCTTTGAACAAATTTAACACATCTAATTTTCCAGAAAAAATGTATTTACCCAAATTTTCGAATATCTTCACCAGATTTCTTTTTTTCCACCAGAATTTTTCTGTTGCTGGATTGTACAGATATTTTTTTCTTCTTAACGTCTTCCAATATGTATTCTTCTTCTAAAGTGACTTCTTACCCCAAAGGTCGATACTTCAGCACAGCACCAAATAGAATATGTAGCACCATAGGCCTTCTGTCTGACGTGGAGAGCGGACCCAGTACTAAAACCGGTCGCCACATCCTACATACGACCCATGCATCTTTTCTTACTACATATTTCTGTAGCCTTGTGATCGTCTAGAATTTGTCTCTAGCTGTCTTTACTTCTGCTTCACGTTGTGTATTTACTTCTTACAGTTTCTTAAGACGTTGTCTTACCAGGAATAACAATGCGACAGTTTGCTTCTACATTTTATATATATATAGCTGAATACAGGTATACAAGCATAATAGATAACAATACTAGCTAAAACTATTTCTCTACCCTAGCCAGCCTTGCGGCTGTCTAGGAACTCAGATGTAAGCTCTCTGGAACCTAATAGAAGCCTGGCGAATTCTCACCAGTATCCCAATTTTGTATCTACTGGTTTTGGACATTCAATTATCCAATTGGTCAAATATGATGTAAATAATTATAGAGATTGGTTAATTGAGCCCAATGACGTCAACAACCCACCCTTATATGGTGGAATGGAATTTTACTGAAGAATATTCTCAGGAGATATCTGTTAACATGTTGTTGACATAGAACCAGTTATGTTATGGCTCTACAAGTGTTTTTATATCACAATATGTCATTTAAACCCTAAGTTGATTCAAGTATTCTAAGTACATATCACATATTATGCGAATATGTTATTTCTCGAGCAAAAATTCTACTAAAAGTATTACAACAGTACAAAATTCTAAATAATGATATACAGTATAATTCAGAAATGAGTTACAAGACTGAAGATTATTACTGCCTTTCTTATGTAATAAAATAGTTCTAATATTTTTACTCTTTGTTTCTATATTTTATAAAGGTTAAAGAAAGGAGCCGCATATCACTGGGATTTATTTGTTGTCGGGTTGATTAATGTATTTCTGTCAATATTTACCTTTCCCTGGGTTCATGCTGCTTTACCCCATTCACCTCTACATGTTAGAGCTCTAGCCGATATAGAAGAACGAGTTGAACAAGGACATGTTCATCAAATGTAAGTAACAGAAAAATATATTATTTTGTTTAAGCATGACTATTCTTCTGGGTCTGTTGAATGGGTTTGGCACATTACCTCATCATCAAATTTAGAGGCAGATTGAAAAGTATGTTATAGATAACAATGAATGTCAACTATTGGAATTTTAAATAATTAATATTTACAAATGATTATTCAAAATTAAAATATTCAGAATTTAGCGTGAAAGAATAACGGTTAAATGTGGCGTTTAAGACCACACATAAGTACTTTTATTTAAAAAATAAACTGGAGTCCAGAAATTCTTCAAATTGATTAATTATGACTACAGTTATGGCCAGCTTAAGTTTACATTGGTTTCCATTCATTTCACACTGTCATCTTAATTCCTCTTTGACAAATATAGTAATAGTAATTGTGCTATCTTTTAGTATAAGCCAGCCCAATTAACGAAGGTCTATTTATACATAGATGTGCTTGATTATACAAAAAATTAAATTTGGAATATATGTGAATGAGTTTGATTTTACCAAAGTAGACGACACAAAATCTTTAGTTTATAATATTGCTCTATCTGTGTGAATAAAATTGGCTATTAAGATATGATAGAGAAGTGCAATGTTGTTGTTGGGTTTTTTTTTTCAGAGTTGCTAATGTTCGTGAAACAAGGTTAACAGGAATAATATCTCACATAATGATAGGGTTATCAGTGTTATTATTACCTGAACCTTTATCATATATACCTAGAGCTGTATTAGATGGTTTATTTCTATATGTAGCTATATCAGCTTTATATGGTAATCAATTCTTTGATAGAATTATGCTGTTATTTACTGAACAGGTAAACATTTAATTTATTTATTCATCATAGGTTTAAATGAAATTTGTGTACTTAGTTCATTATAAGGATTAAAGATATAGTTGGATGCATCAATCGCTGAATTTTTTTTACATGTCCATATTTAGGGTGGATGTTACCACTGTCCATGATCTGTTGGTCCATTCAGAATTTCTTGTGAATGCGTTCTTGAAATTTCTCTGTGAATGTTTGTTCCTTAGAAAGAACCCTATCAAAATTCTTAATTTTTTTATGCATCCACATTCATAATGTGGACGTATATTGCTGTCGCCCCTGTGTGTGTATGTGTGGATGGGCGGATATATTCCTTATACCCTAAGGATGATCCCTATTTTTTTTGGTGCATGCCCGACCCCCAGGGGCAGAGCCATGTCCATGACTCTTTGTGTGTCTGTTTGTCTTTTTGAAAACTTTTAATACTTATACCCAAAGGATGACCTCTTTTATTTTTTGGTGCATGCCCAATCCCCTGGTACAGAGCCACATCCAATTTTTGTGTCTGTGTGTTGCCTACAGGGTGCAATTCTTGACAGATCCTTTTGGAACTTTGCATACCTCTTTATACCCTAAGGATGATTGCTATTGTTTTTGGTGAATGTCCGATCCCCAGGGGCAGAACCACACCCATTGTTTCTTTGTGAGGTGTTGCCTACAGGTCACAATTCTGACTGGATTATCTTGAAACTTGGTATACTTATTACTTATATCCTAAGGACAGCAACTATTGATTTTGGTGCATGAATCACCCTGCTTCGGTGGTGCCACACCCACTTTTTGTTTATATTTTGTCTGTAAATAATCTACAGGTTGCAATTATTAAAAGATTTGGATCCAATTCGGCGTGATCTATCATAGGATTGTACCTATTTATATTGTTCCATATCTAACCCTCAGGGGCAAAGCCACGCCCAATATTTGTGTTTATCGTCTGCAGGCTACAATTCTGAATCGATCATCTTGGAACTTTGCATATTTATTTCTTATAGCCTAAGGACGGCAATTATTTATTTTGGTGCATGCCCCGACCCCCAGGAATGTGGACATATATTGCAGCGGTACCGATGCTCCTGTTATTGCAAATCGTGGCATTATGTTTGGTCACATTCTCTAGCTATAATATTAAAGATTTAAACTTTGAACCTGGTAGTTCAGTCCCCTACTTCTTAAAATTTAACATACATTATGCAAGAGCTAAATCTGCCAATTGCACGTCTTTCTTTAGGCCTGAAATGTTATCTAAATTTTTAATTAGACATTAATTTACTTATCCAAACCATAATCAACTCTTGATGTCATCGCTAGCCTGCGATATTTTCTGGAATAGAAACCTATCTTCTGCTTAACGCTCATTGATAATTAAATAAAAAAATGGATAATCGAGACTATTTTTTTTGTCGTACCGACTTTATTAATGATGCTCAAGGCTAGACCCAAAATTCAATTGCTAATATCTCGGTTCAGAGTTGATAAATTTGACTGAAATTTTCAGCAAATTCCCTTTACATTATCTAGTTTTTAACTATTATTAGTGAGAACTGTTAGCTCTTTATCTAATCTCCCATAATGTATCTTTAATAAGTAGTATTTTAAAACCTATTTCATCTTTTTTTTAGGTTGCATACCCACCAAATCATTACATAAGAAGAGTACCACAGAGAAAAATACATATGTTTACTGGAATCCAATTATTACAATTATTGGTTCTGTGTATTTTTGGTTTTTCTCCAATAGCCTACATGAAAATGATCTTTCCTATTCTCTTGATGTTCTTGATGCCAATAAGGTAAGGTTATATTCAAACTAATTTCTACTGTTCTAAGTGAAACTTATAATTGGAGATCTGAATATTCCCAAATCTTATATTGGCAGTTTTACATACTTATGGCATTATGGGTTTATTAATAGGATAGTCTTTTCACTCAGTTGTCTCCCTTGACACATCAATTTTTAACCAGTATTTTTATATTCCAGACACAAGCTAGTACCAAAGGTAATTGAGCAGAAATATTTGAAAGCTTTGGATGGAAATTAAATATTTCACCATATCAGCATATAAATAGAATTATATTAATGTATATCCATCAGAAATATTTGTGTACATCTCAATTTATTTTGTGATAAATAGGGGGCTTGTTACTGTAATATCGTTATATTTTTTAGTGAGTCACTCCACTCTGAGGGTATAAAGAAAATGAAAGGAGGGAGGAAAAGGGGAGATATTGGACATACAAACTATTTACTGGTGTGTCCGAAAATTTGTTCAGACATACTCTTATCACATGTCTAGATTTTAAGATTATAAATTTTGAGTGTTATTTATTGTGGTTATCTTTATGATCACAGGGGGTTTGGATGGCCGAATGGTTAGCGGGTGTGCGCTGTATCATAAGGTCTGTCATTGAGTCAACTGGTGTGGTTTCAATTCCCCGGTTGTACGTGACAAGGAGTAGGGGCGCCTGTCCAACCTCGTGGGTTTTCTCCAGGGTCCTCCCACTGCTAAAGAACCATACGCGCAAGAGAATTATTGAAATAAAATTGTACCATGTTAGTCCCAAAATGACCTAGTTTATGTCGAGTGGACTTAAACCCCATTTCTCTCTCTCTTTTATGATACTTCGATTACTTTTCAAATTTGTGAGAACAAAATGGTGAAATTTTTTAGAACTGCATGGAATTATTTAGCGTAGCCTCAAGAGGAACCCTACTGAAATTTAAATCACTTATCTCCCTGTTTACATTCAAAGTTATGAAGGGGATTATTTATATAGGCATAAGGTGGATCCTTATTTCGATCATCAATTTGGAGTTGTTACCCCTGTAAGTTTACACCATATTTTGCAGAGTTATCTTTCAATTCACATTTTGACTTCTGAAGTGTGTGAACATGATTCAGGACATAATTCTCTATTGAATTTTTGAGCTTACACTGACAACTTTGCTGCTGGTGGGCATGCTAGGAGTAGGGAACCTGGCAACCCTCTTGCTATGTTATTATTTTCATTACATTTAAGAGCATATTTCATTATAAATCACTGTACATACTTTTCAAATATAATATTCAATATAATAATCAAATATACGACTTTCTATGTTGAGAAACATATGATGTGAATCCATGTGGAACAAATTTATCTTTTCATAAGTGTATATATGGTAGTGTGATTGTTGCTAAAGCCAAAGATCTTTTCATTTCACATTTATTATATTCAATATTGATGTAACTTCATTGACTAATATTGACATAGTAAACTGCTTATGTTAAGATTGCTCCTTATTTCAAACTGGCAAAACTTTTAAGTGCTTCAGGTAACTGCATCCTTCGGATAAATTGCGCTCAAATTATACTATTTATATCTTTTTAAGGCCTAGCATAGAGTTTAAGACCATGCAAAATCAAAAGTACTTATAATTAAAAACATCTTGGTCTAAATATTATTCAAGTTCTTTCCGAGTTGCAAAATTTTAATTCACACTGATTTCTAACCACCCCCATTATCTCTCTTAGCATGATTGACTACATGTATATTTGTCTTTCTTTTTCGTACAGACTAGCCCATTCTTAATGAATGTTGTTTTAGACCCAGAAACAGTCTTTACATTTAATAGTGCTTATTTTTGACTCTAGAAATATATGTGGATAAGCTTTGCCATTTTCTATGGGCATGGATGTTTTGTAAAACTAAAGACCAAGGATAGGTGGCCTCCTCTTTAATTTTCAACTGAAAGATGCTCCATCAAAACTGTGAGATATATCCTACCTATTCTAAAGCTTTGGATATTGGGGATGTCACCAATGCATGTGACGTGGAGTACAGTCATCCCTGGTTAGCTATATGTGGGATTTATCATGTATTGGTAGACAATAACCTCTTGTTTATTTCTCTAGATCATTGTGATACTAACACCTGTGTGATAATCATAACTCAGGATTTGAATTTATATAAAATAGTTTTACTGATTAATATGGCCAGAAGTTGTATAAAAAAGATGTCGGGTACGTTACACTAGTATCATATAGCATATTTATCATGTAGCAGAATTATATCTATAATATATGTCGAGTATATTATACAATTATTGAAAATTTATTTTATACATTTATTTTCAAAATAAAATTACAAAAACAATGTTTTAAGAGTTCCTTATTTTATATGATATTTAACAGATGAGAATAAAGCTGCTGATCCTAATTTTTGGGATACAAAAAAATCCAACAGCAACTGTTTATTAAACTGTATTTTTAGTGTAAATTTTCTGTCCGACTATTGAGTATAATAGTTATTGCTCACAATATGATGACTAAAACACATCAAGCCAGTATATAGCCTCAACATTTTCAGAATCAATATTTGCTGATTTCTATTGTGTATTCACACAAGAGTCTACAGCAGTACCTGACACTAAGTGTATTATCATATATGCAAGAAAATATGTACATAATTTCGGTCTCCGATATTACGATGATGAATTATCCAACAAGAAATGAGACACTAGTTCATGACTTCCTCCCCTCAATGAAAGTTTAAATAGTAAGAATGATGATTGTATATCATGAGATAGTAACAAAATTTAACACATATAGACCTGAATTTACATGCAGTTGTATTTATATTTTGTAACTAGGTGAGGAAATATAATGTACCATATTTAATAACTGAAAAATATTTAATACAAGCATATCTTGCTATGATTTAAGCTATGTTTTATGGATAAATGAAATGATGAAATATACAAGCTATTTACATATATATAGTATGAATGATGATAACGAAATGTACACATATGACTATAAGTATAAACTAGCAGCAAACACAATATCTCTCTTTAATTTATGAATGCCTGAAATACAAATAATAAATCCAATGAAGACTTCAATTTAGCAGTAGAATTTTTGTTGGTGGGGAGTAACAGTTGTATAGCTTTTATTACTACAGACTTTATGATTTGGTCTAAATGATGGCTTCTGTTCTAACATTTTAATCTATCAATAGTTATGCAATCCAACTTTATCTCATAGTATGTCATGCCTTTTCACTGATGACCTTGGTATAAACTTCCACTTACGGATAAAATTGCACGATCAAAAGGAAACCTAGTGATATCTGGAACATTGCAATATGAGAAAAATCAAAACTGAAATTTACTTACCTTCAGCAAATTTATTTTCTAATTCTGTATTACCAATAGCTTTAGCAGCCTGACATAGTTGGCGTAATGTTTCTTCTAATCTTCTCATACATCTAATAATACTTCCTATAAAACAAGTTACAACTCTCTAAGTATAATACAATTAAAAATGTTCTAATCCGTATCTCCTCATATCCTACATTTCACTAAGGCTATAAACACAATAATAATCATACCTTCAAAACAGTCTGTCATTTTACAAACTTGACCAAATGATACTCCATTACACCAGGCAAATACAACATCCATCATATGAGGTTTAAATCCATCAACATAAACTTCTTCATCTATTTCTAACTTTGCTTCTTTACTTATTCTAGCTATTCTTCTAGCTGTATCCTATAAACATTAAAATATTATAAAGTAATCATCTCATATTTAGCTGATTTATTAATTGTTATAGCTGTATCCTATGAATATTAAAATATTATAAAATAATCATCTCAAATTTAGCTAAAGTATTTCTTTTTCTAGTTATTATTCTCCTAGCTCAGTGATTCTCAACCAATGTGCCGCGAAATTTTGAACGGTAGATTAAGAAAATGCAAAAAAAACATGTGATCCAAATTGAGTATTTACTGGTGTCTACTGATAAGTTTATAGCTGTGTTTTTCTTTATTTAGTTTGAGTCATTATATGTGCCTATGACTAGTCTGTGTCTACAGTTGTATGCCGTCTATGACTTGCAATGTTTTTATTTTGCAAAATTCAAATATTTTTCATTATATATTTAGCCAGGTGTGCCGCTATTATTTCATGTTTTCCAAGATGTGCCATTGGCAAAAAAAGGTTGAGAACCACTGTCCTAGCTGTATCCTATGAATATTAAAATATTATTTTAAGTCCTCTTATGTTTAGCTGCATATCAAAATAATCATTTCATATTTAGCTGAATTCTTGAACAGTGAGCAAGAAATTGCCTGTTGGCTACATTTAATGCTAACTTTGTACTGTTACAGATGAAAGCAATCACATCAGTACAGCTGCACAAAGCATGGCTAACCCTTTAGGCTCAGTTCATTAGTTGAAACTTTTGCTTGAATTGATGAAACCCCTTCAACTATAGCAATATAAATTGTTTCTCCCCTACAATCACAGCTATTTGAATTAGAGAACTTGATTGATTGAAAATGAAATTGCAAAGATCACAAACCTGCATTATTCTTAATGGACCTGACAATTCTTCTGATAATTTCGTTAACTGGTTGGCATTTTCTTGAAACACAAAACAACTGATGAGAGAACAGGCCTGTTGAGGTGTTAAATCATTAAATACACCATTAAATAATAACTCGGTCATTAACAACTCATCACCACTAAAAAAAGGATAAAAGTACATATATCAAAATGATAAAACTAATATTGGTTAACTTTAATACAAATACACAGGTAAAGTCACCTCACTCTCAAAGGACCCAATATGAAGTAGGTATTTGAGTGTAATACATCTGGATGCATGCTGTAATAGACATGCTTCTCCCTTGACCAATATTGTAAAACATCTTTTTAGTTCTTTATTTCTGTACTGTAATTAATGCAACTAGTGATACCTAGCATTACATCTCAGTTCTTTTTGTGTGTACTATAATTATTGTCACAAGTGATCTCCAACCTCACTTCTCACGCAGTTCTTTGCATGTGTACTGTAATTATTGTAGCATTACTTCTCAGTTCTTAATGTGTGTACTGTAATTATTGTGTGAACTTGCATTACTTCTCAGTACTTTATGTGTGTACTATAATTATTGTGTCATCTAGCATTACTTCTCAGTACTTTATAGTCATACTGTAATATATATAACCAGTGATAGCTAGCATATCGAATCCAACAAATTTTGGGTAAAATCAATTTGCTGTTTAAGAGTTATTAGTACCTGCTGATTTCACACGCGACTCTACCCTTGATTTCTATAACATCTGAAGCTGTTGCATATCCCATTCTTCTTAATACTCGTTTTCTCTTCTTTAATTCATCCATTTGTAACAGAGATCTTTTCTTCTTTAATTCACTCTTTAAAATTTTCATTTCATTGGAAATCTAAAAATAGGAAAATTATGAGTCGCAACATTGAAATAGCTGATGTTAATTTGAATTTCAGACAATATGTTGTGACTATTTCTGCTGTTAAAAAATTGTTAGCTCTTCGATCATATGCAATACTTTGTAATTTAGAAATGAAATGAAAAGGAGTTGTAAGTCATACTTTTCGGTACCAACTGGGCTAATGAAGACAGATATACAGTATCCTATGAGGGAAATTGTGTCAACTCTTTAATTCCTACTGTCAGGGGTTCTCTCATTCTAAACACAGAGAACTATCTACTTTCAGAATAGATCTCTGTCCTAAATGGCCGCCATATCTAAAAAATTGTATGCTATTTTTAATAGCCATTCAAGTTCTGTAAGTGATAGCCTTTCAATTCGTACTTGTCTTGAATTCGGAGTGTGCATGGGCATGTAACTTATTCAAACATCTTAAAAGGTATTCAAAGATTTATTGCTTTCTTGTTATTTATCTGCCAGACAAACAATTTTCCCCATCTGCAAAGGGTGTCTGAATTTTGACATGTGTAATTTGAATTATCACGTGGCATAAATATAGACTATGAAAATTAAAATGTGTGTAAAATATAATTCTTACCTTAGTTTTAACATCATATTCATTATAAAGTTGTTTTAAATTGGGATCTTTATGTAATGGATGACTATATAAACGATGTTCAAATGCTTCAATTTTCTACAAGAAAAATTTATAAGTCATTACTACCCTGTCATTTTCAGAATAATGACTTTACACAAACATTACTGGTCATTCAATCAGGATGACACAAATAATTTGCATAATAATTTACATAGATAAAAATAAATAACATGGGTTGCCAGTAAACAAAATATGTGTCACAAATGGTCTTGCATAAACTAATCACTTCTTATAATTTAATTTTAGACAATTGTCTTGAGATTGTAAATTAGTTCACCCACCTTGATTATTTCTGTTAGAGCTTTATCTTTAATACCCATATCTTCTATAGGATCTAATAGCGGTATACCATCAGGAAATCTCTTCTTTACTTCCTATAATACAATAATTAAACAATTCCCACATATACAAAGCTAGAATATTTTATTGGTTTGATCATCCAGTCAAACTTAATCTCTGATAAAATTATGACGTAGGTCAGGGAAACAGATAGGGTTTTAAGTCCTACTTTTCTGCACCATATGCCATGCAGTATGCTATGAGGGAAATTTTGCTGGATAGCGGTGCTGTGGCCTACTCTTATTTCGAATTCTAATTGTCTGGGGGGTTTTCTGTGCACGCTAACATGTACCATAGGTTTTTTGTACCATACAAATAACTAGAAACTCTTCCTTGCCAGGCCTTATGTCCTGCACCACTGACAAGGGAAACCACACTGTAAAATACCAGGAACTGATTAGAGAGCCAGCACATTTTTTCACTGAGCCACCATGTCTGCTATAAAGGTCTGTGACACTGGCAACTTTCATACCCACACATTATATGAGGTTTTTAACATTGTTATAACAATAATACCAGGACAGGCCTATATTGTTAGTATTAAAGGGTGAAAATAAGATCACATGATCGAGAACTATTAATTTGATTGGTTAAAAAATTTTCACCATCAGAACAGACCATGGTCTGTATAGTTGATTTAATAATTTCAATATAATACTTACTAATCAAAAACACACTTTTATGGATAACAATTACTATGGTTTATTTCACAGTGACGTTTCAACAAGGTTTCACAAGTCGTTATCTATTTGTGTATATGCTTGATAACGACTTGTGAAACCTTGTTGAAACGTCTGTCGCTGTGAAATAAACCATAGTAATTGCTATCCATAAAAGTGTGTTTTCGATTATGTTCCAATTATTAAATGTCATTCAAAGAATATAATACTTACTACTAAAGATTTGAAGACTCTCATCCTGTTATCTAGTGGTCGTAAATCATTTGATATATACACTCTTAATGCACTAATGGCTTCTATCAAATGAATCATTATTGGTACAACCTAAAACAAACATTATATATGTGATTATAATTATAAAATTCTATTTACTCAAAAAATCTCATCCAATTACACAAGTTATTTTATAAGAACTTGTAACTGCGGATTCAAACTTCTTTCTAGATGCACGACTAATGCTATCTGTGAAAAGAATTTAAACTTGGAAGATCTTTACAGTGTCATATTTTAGTCAAAACGCGAGGCAGTAGTGGAGGTTTTGCACTAAGATTATACTTGTTTGTAATTCTCACAGAATGGAGAATCATGTGATTATTATCAAGACAGAAACATTCCAAATTGAGAGAGAGAGAGAGAGAAATGGGGCTTAATGTCCACTCGACACAAACTAGGTCATTTTGGGACTAACATATGGTTTTAATTTTATTTCTATAATTCGCTTGCGCGTAGGGGTCTTTAGCAGTGGGAGGAAACTTGAGGACCCGGAGAAAACCCACGAGGTTAGACAGGCGACCCTACTCCTTGTCACGTACAACCGGGGAATCCAAACCCCGCCAGTTGACTCAATGACAAACCTTATGATACAGCGCCGCGTGCTAACCATTCGGCCATCCACCCCCCCCACCCAATTGAGAGATCTGCAATTGAGTGACACAGAATTCAGTCATGTCACAGTTGTCAGTCCCGATAACTGGGGTAGATTTGTGATGTAATTAAACACAGTGAATATGTTTACGGTGTTGTGGTTGGTTGAGATATTTTCTTAATCAGTCGGCGCATGCATTGTAGCCTAAAATCACCTAGTTCACTCGAATGTCACGTTTCGTGATATTGAAAACCGCTTTTATTCTCTCTTATAAACATCTGACCTTGTAGTATTTACGTAATTTCTATGCTGTTTTTTATTTAATATAACAGTTGGTTGGATTCGAAGAGCAGTACTTCATATCATCAATTGCCCTTTTTTGAAAATCATAATAATCTCATTTACATCGTGCATGACTGTAATAGCGGTAAACGGCTTTGTTCTAGAAAATTCTTATGACACATGGACAATACGTGATAAACTGAGAATGGACCGCTTCACACCATTGATAAGATTCCAACATATCAATTAACTTTTATTGTTCTAAAACCAGACATTCATCATTAATTATCAACACAACACTCAGTATAACCTGTTGACGACTATGTATACAACTCTATAACACCAATCACGAGATTATGTGGCTTCTATATGTGCGCATTATTCTGCACTGCCCGTATAATTTTATAGTTACATAGAGGAGGTCGATCATAGCCATGTTTGAAATGTTTAAATAATTGGGTTTTGAAAAAAAAAGGCTATTTTCCGGCGTGCAAAACAACCGATGGGTCACATCTAGTTACGGTCAATTTCCATAGCCCTCAGTCCCGACCGGCATATACGATAGTATCGATTGGACGGCCCAGAAAAGCACTATCGATAGCGGTGGGTTACTATCGATTATCGCTCTTCGTCTATTTTTCTTGCGTCTGAAATGTCAATGTTTTCTTTCAGTTAATCATAATACACCGCTCACTTTAATTACTATCAAGTATCAATGTAACACATAACAAAATTGTGACTGCTTATTAAACAGCCGTTTTCATAAATTCACTCTCATTGAAGAAATTATTGTTGAATATCGCTAAATCGGAGATACCCGGATGTGTAAATAAAGTTAGAGTTATTTCCCTTTGCAAGCTTCAGAATTCGTCTGCCATATTGATATTTTCGCGCGCACGTACGCCATGTTTTGAATTGGAACAAGTTCATTTTGGTCCCTTAACATAATTATTTACGATATTTCTTCATTCGGAACCACGGCTGCATTATTTTAATAATAAACAACATCAATTTACGTATATATACGTGATATAACAAGTTTTATTAATGTTTTCCAAATAAATCTCCTTAGACAGGAGCAAACGATCTTTCGCAACTTCATATGGTTTTGAACTTTACCCAGCCCTATATACGGCTGAAGTGGAACCCATGGTTCAAACAAATCAATTTTCAGATCTTTTATTTTTCTTATCAGTATATTTGTAAGTCTGTTTTAAAGAAGACACGCTATTATAATTATGCAAAAACAAATTAAAATTTTTAAAGCAAATGTTATTTCAAAATCTTGGGATAAATGATGGGAAAAATGCCTGTCTTAAATGATGTAATTCTTTAAAATATTTGCAAATTTTTTTTAATGAAAAAATACATGAATAAACCTAGTATTAAGTATTTTGCTGATTTTGAAGATAAGAGAAAACATTTAAAAACTCTTTTCCTTTTTCTAAAAAAAACATGACATTTGTTAAATACCCACTGGTACATTTAAATGGAAAATGTTCATCATCACATTCAACTTAATGAACATATATATACACAAAATAGAAAACACAACATACCTGCATTTCACCTTTTTCTGTAGGTGGGCATGGTTTAACTTGAGTTATATCTCTACTTTTAACACTATCTTTAGTTATATATAGTAACACATCAACTATATATACAGTATTTTCTCTTTTATCAGATGACTGAAACACAAACAAAACAAGATGACTAGTCATCAACATCCCGCGCCCTTGCACTTGTTTGGAAGAAATAAGGAAAAATAACTTGTTTATGCTATTGGTAATCAATATAAAAATGTATCAGATTTCGCAAACAGTGTCACTGGTCCTAATATTGGGGCCCTGTTTAGTAGATATTGCTCTCTATTTCTGAAAACTAATGACTGATTGACTGTTTCCATGGAAACACAAAAAATATAAATCCCAGAAATTCCTAAATAGCAAAAGGCACAACTACTGTAATAGGTTGATGTGTGTGCAAAGTTTCAGAAAGATATCTTGAACGGTTTATGAGATATGCTCCGGAAACCAAATTGTACACCAAAAACTAAGTCATTTTTGTTTCCATGGAAACACACAAAATATCAATCCCAGAAATTCCTAAATGGCAAAAGGCACAACTACTGTAATAGGTTGATGTGTGTGCAAAGTTTCAGAAAGATATTTTGAACGGTTTATGAGATATGCTCCGGAAACAAAATTATACACCAAAAACTAAGTCAAATTTGTTTCCATGGATAATAATAATAACCTAGGATGATAAATGGTTAGAACAGATTAACACACATATCGAAGGTTAGTACTTGTCTTAAAAAAATAATTCTACTGTGTTTTCCAGGAATATCTATTAATCCTTGTAAAAAATTTCCCAATATTTCAGCTCAATTTATTTTTTTCTCTTCTCCTTATTGAGTGAATAACTTTTACTTTTGTTGTGAGACATCCGATCTATGTGTCTAATTCTTGAAAATACTACTCTGTTATCTCTAAATTACCGTATCTGCTTTCTTCTTGGAGAAATTAACCACAACACCCCAACCATATTCATCTTCATTATTTTTCACCTGAAAATAACAAACAATAAGTTATAAATGCATGGAAGATGTCAACTTACTTGGCAACAGTCGTATTTATCAGTAATGTTTATTATCTCTCTATTCCATATTACACAATCCATCTATTGACTCATTAGAACCAGAAATACTGATTGACAATATAAACTAGGATTTGAACTGACCTTTAATAATCTACCTGGTTGTAAGAAAGGTAGAAGATATACAGGTTGACGTATAAAGTGTATTAATTCTACACTAAGATGTTCTAACTGTTGGCGTATTTTATAATATGCTGCTACATTATCTTCATTCTCTATAACTAAACTATTACATTCTTTTTCTTTTTTCTTTAACTCTAAAATATAAAACATTATATATATAAAAACAATACTAAAAACATAGCAACCCTGTAAAGAATGTTCAAATTTCAACAAGTCCTATGTAAATCAATCATTGCAATATTATTAAGCTGAAAGGATTGTGAGGGTGGCGGTTTATCAGAGGTAAATTAAAACAGTTGAGTAGATTTTTTTGTGCTGTGATGAGCAGGATTAGCTGTTGTTCAGGTTTTTTTGTAAATACTAGTAGCTGAAATGTAGCTTGGTTGTTGGAATTCTGTGACTAGAATGATTCCAAATTTAGATTTGATCAATTGGAATTTATCTAAACCATTCCTGTACTTTTAGGCCATTATCGTGTGGTTGAACCATAACTTTATAACATCAATTCGAGGACAATCAATGAGTTCTATAAAACAAATTAAAAGTTTATGGTAGGTGTCACCATGGTACTCGACAGTGTATAATATTATAAGTGTCTACACAGGTGTCGATAATATACCCAACATCAGTGTTATAGTGAAGCCCAAGTGTGTAAACAGTTTTCAAACTAAAATAAACAAACATACCGGAACAAAAACATGTGAATACTGGCACCTACTTTCACAGAGATCTGGTATAGCCGCATAATTCTGGAACTGATAGAATGATCTTTCTAACATATATTCTGGATTAATTTCTTCTACTCTCAATAGATTTAACACCATATTGTAAGTTAAATGGAAAGCACTGTTGAGGGGATCTGGCAGACCCTGAAATGTAGAGAGTATTTTAAATATTTTCATAGTCCTAGTACAACTATGAAATTCTAATTTCATTATTTATTCTAGACAACATACATTACGAAAAAAAACATTTACAAAATATTCCTGCCTTGTCTTTGTAGACAAATACACACAGCTATAGGCTTTTTTATCGACTTGCCAACTCGATTTGAATTTCAATGGTCAATTTCCCAGTACTTTGGCGAGTTCGTTAAATGCGTCGATTGGCTGTAAACAATTCTTGTGGCTGGACATACTTAAAAAAAACATGTGATCACCCAATCAAATCGCACCTAGAGGTGATTTGTGGTAATCGCTTCATAAATCGGTGTCAATAAATTTGTTGATTAGGGTAATCAATTTGAGTTAGATGGACATTAAAAATGAAAATTTGATTGAATGCAAATTCCTTTAGATAATCAGTGGTCGATAAAAACGCCTTATAATGAACAGTATACGAGTGTTGGTATTTTATTTTTTATTTCAAGTCGCTGATTATCGTCACATTTTAGGACAAAATCAAACTTTCCACGGTTTAATCTATGCTAAAATGTATGCACATTGATCATTATAATTCCATATTAAATTAAGAAACATTAAATATCAACGGTAGATAATAGGATTGAAAAGAGGTCCATGAAAAGATATTAGCTGACAATGGTTTGTTCTGACCAAACTGCTTATATAGTCTGCATAGGATGCAGAATGTTGACAAATTTTCAATTGATCATATCTTTGTAAATACTGAACGGAAATGAACCATTTTTGACTGACATTCCTTTGCAGGAGATTAAAAATCCCTCAAATAGGGATTAGAGACATTAAGAGTCAGAAGTTACTTCCCATATTAGAGGTATATGGAACTTTTTATAAAAATCTTTAGGAAACCCTAACATGGGTCATTTAAATAGCCATTCTATCAAAACTTGGCACATCAACTCATAGCAAGATAATTGTCATTCTTATTAATGTGACTCTGATATCAGCTATAGAATACTGAATTTTACTTGGCTATGTTTCCTGTAGACACCAAGTTTTCCCCAAGGTCAGGGTTTAAAACTTTAAAAATATGCAACATACCCGTAATAAATTTTTACCAACTGCAGGACTCATTTTTTCATCAATCATCAAAATAACAATTCCTCGTTCATCTAAACCTCTTCGACCAGCTCTACCACTCATTTGAATATATTCACCAGATGTTACCCAACGGAAATCTTTACCATCAAATTTCCGAGCACTAGTAAATAACACAGTTCTGGCAGGCATGTTCAAACCCATAGCAAATGTTTCAGTAGCAAATAAAGCCTGAAACATAAATGATCTTTAGAAAAGAAAACAAACATCAGTATAAAGTGATTCTCAATTTACACTAAGAAGGCATTTAAAAACTAGATTGAAATCGAGTGTTCCATTTACAGATAAAAGATATGATATATTTTAAACAGGAGGTTGTTTTATAAATTTTGATACTAGGGAAATAATAATCTTTTACTTACCTTAATCAAACCTTCAGAAAAGAGAATTTCGATTGTTTCTTTTAGAATAGGTAATAAACCAGAATGATGTATACCAACGCCTTTCTTTAACAATGGTAAAACATGTTCAACCTATAATTCAAATATTTCATCAGATTTACACTTTTTCTTCATTATGTATAATGACAATGTCTTGCACAAAACGTGTGCAATATTACTATATGGACCAGGAACCGAGAAGGACGCCAACGTCACCATCTTGGAATTGTCTATCAAAATTAATGTCAGTCAGCTGATGCACAATTGTCCAAGGAACAAATTTTATGCAAGTTTCATGTTGACCGTACTTGAATTGGCGGGACCTTGCTTTTTCAAAGAGCGTCGCTCCTAAGAAGAGACCAACAACAAAAAGATGAGTAGCATTTCAGGACCACTTCCTGGTCCAATTAAAGGTTTCAATAAGTCTAAAAGAAAATCAGGGCATTCAATACCTGTCATTTAAATAAAAGTAGTTATGTATATACTGTACATACCTGTGGTAGTTTTTTATCTTCATCAGATAAAGCATCTATAGCATTATTAAATACTTCATCAACTAACGTCTTTTCTTCATCTGTGTAGAGTTTACAATAAAATAAAATACAAATTTTAATGATAACAATTATGTAATACTTAATTTACTGTATTTTCTATTTATAGACTTGGGTGTGCAAGTAAGTAGGACACTCAATCTCATTTCATTTCATGATTATTCATGGATTATGGTGTGCATGTATATATAATTATTTAAAACATACGGCAACAAGAAAAATATAAAATGATATAGTGTTTAACGTCTTACTGTTCTGCTCCGACTGGGCTAATGAAGATGGGCATACGCCATACAGTGTGCAATGAGGGAAATTTTGCCCAGTCGGCAGCGCTATCGTCTACTCTTATATCAAATTCCAAGTGACATGGGATCTTTCATGTGCATGCTGTGTACACAAACATCGGTTTTTGTCTCATCCGAACGACTAGACAGCTGTCCTGTCAGGCCTTCCCCGTCCTGTACTACTGACAATGGGAAACCACAACGGAAAATCCTGATGAACTTTCTTGTCAACACCTGACCTCCAGACTAGCGAGCCAGTGTCTTACTCACTTAGTCACCGTGGCTCCTATGGCAACAAGAAAATAGTAATAATATGCATTTAAAAAGACACATTTATGAAATTATAGATATATCATACAAGACTGGAATTTGACAACATACCTGTATTAAAATCTAGTTTAGCCATACTCATACCATATGCTTCACATTCTTTACGACTAAAACTAAACACAACAACAGGAGCAAAGTTTCTCTCCATTATCATCTTCACTATCTTAAAACAACTTGACTCATGAGCTGAAAAAATAATAATATATTTACAAGTCTGACAAATTCCTATCATAATGGCAATGGAAAATTTTATATTTTGACAAATACCAAATTATACCAAACCATCAAAGCAAGCTACAAAAGTTATATTTACCTTTACTTCCACCTTTTCTACCTTTCTGATCACCTTTAGCTGCATCACCAGCATCCTTTAATACGGACATAGCTGTATTAAAATTCTCTTCTCTAAACTCACCCTTAAAATACAATAAACCTTTCATTATGTTATTTAAAATAATTGTTAGTATCCACAGAAAATGTGTACATAGCGTATTAAAATTCGCTTCTCTAAACCCACCCTTAATATACAATAAACTTTATATTATTTAAAATAATTGTTAGCATCCACAGAAAATGTGTACTTTGGTCTTTTTTTGCAGTATAAGTAGTAACAGGTGTCATACATGAGGCAAGATATGTTTTACTCTTTGTAGAACAATAATGCCACCCTTATTTATTCGAACAGCTAATGATTGTTTTAAGATTTATTAGATTTAGATCTTTATGACCACAGTAAGTAAAATAAGGTATCATTTTTCACAAATGTTCCGTGTACAGTACAGAAGAACACTGTTTCTCAAAGATTCCATGAACACATGTTGGTACATTTTTTATCTCAAAAAAATGATTTGCTAATATAAATCCCATTTTCAAAATTAATGGCTACAGTTACCATGATACCCCATATCGCCCATATTCCAAAATTTATAAAAATTAAGATTATTAAGATGCTTAAACATGAATTATGCAAGAGCTAAATCTGCTAATGCAGGTCTTTCTTTAGGCCCGAAATGTTATCTAAATTATTAATTAGACATAAATTAACTTGTCCAGACCATAATCAACTCTTGATGCCATCGCTAGCCTGGGATATTTACTAGATTTGAATGCATTTTGTGATTGATGATTTAAAGTCAAAATGGACAATCGAGACTTTCTTTTTTATCGTACTGACTTGAGTAATGATGATCGAGGCTAGGCCTAAATTTCAATCCTAATATCGCGGTTCGGAGAGAGGCAATTTGACTGAAATTTTCAACATATTCTAATATTTTTTAAATATTATATAGCAAGAACTGTCAGCTCTTTATCTAATCCCCCATAATTTCCCTTTAATGTATTAGCTTTAAAAAATAGATAACACTAAATAACTGTCTACTGGGATTAATCCTTGGCATGTGTAATTAATATTCAATTCTTACCGTTTCATCAACAACTAAATGTAAACCATCACCACCAGCAGGAAACAGATAATGTTGTAATGGAATAGGTCTATAATCAGTATAAACAACATGACATGGCTGAAATAATATCAAATAGTACAATCACAAACACTATATAATAAATTATGTGGGATTTTCTTTTATCAAAATACTATATAAACATGACAAATATTATGCAAATTAATTTTGTGGGATTTTCTTTTAGCGAAATACTTTATAAACATGATACAAATTAATCATGTGGGATTTTCCTATATCAATATAATTTGACGCAAATTAATGTAAATGTTACAGAGTTTTGTCGCACAAGTTTTCAAAACCATCTTTAAATTTATTTTCTTTACCACTGTACAATTTTATCACTAATAAAGTACATATCATTGTTATAGCTAAGTACAACAAACGTAATGCTAAGTTATATCCTGCAAAATGTCTATTTTATACCATAATCTCTGTGAATATTTTATAATAGCTAATTAATGGTGTATTAACAGTTATATTTGACCTGTTTATGTAAGTGACATATCCATTCAGCAAACTGTCTTGCATTAGGTATAGTAGCAGATAAAAATACATAATGTACATTATCTGGTAGTAAAATAATAGTTTCTTCCCATACTACTCCACGTTCTGAAAAATATATATCAATATTGATACATTTTTATAAATATACAGGAAATTAGGTGAGCAGCTCTAATGATGAATCAAAATCCATTCACTAAAAGTAAAGTCATTGCTTTTCAAAGTATCAACAAATTAGACAGTAATATGCCATAAATGCAAGGATGGCACTGATGTTCAGATTTAAGCTAGGATTCTATGTGATTGTAGAGTGCAATTTGCAATGTGTGGTCTGTGAGGAGTATAGACCAAAATTATTGGAAACAGGTTTTTTGTTTGAAGCAATCAATGAAGCACAGTGCAGTAGAAGGCCAATTACATACACACAGAGGGTGTTGCTGTTTGAACATAAGTGAATGACAGCGATAGTTATGGATTATTGCATTTCAGAGAGTGTGACAAGGATGGAAAGATATTAATGACCTACCTTTGTCTCTCATATAATGTATTTCATCAAACACAACCCACGCTACTTCTCTCATTATCTCTGATCCTCTATACAACATACTTCTTAAAATCTATAAACAAACAAAAAATATCATGGTGTAATAATTAAACAATAAACCGTGATTCTAAACTAAATGGTGATATAATAATAATTTACAATGTGGTACAATGTTATACTAGAATACTATGATATTATTACCTCTGTCGTCATGACTAATACACTAGCTGTAGGATTAATAGTCACATCACCAGTCATTAAACCAACATCTTGAAATTCTTCAAATAACTCTCTGTATTTCTGATTACTTAAAGCTTTAATAGGTGTTGTGTAGATAACTCTCTGTCTTTCTCGTAAAGACATTGCTATAGCATACCTATAAAATATACATTTATACATATACATGACAGAAAACAACAGTTATAAAAAAGAGCAATAACTCTTACAACCATAATGCAATCATTCAGAATTTGTCTATTCATAGCAATTCTTTCTTTACCGTGTGCGCCTATGTGAGGCAATTTATGTTGACTCTCTAGTCTAAAATCAAAGTCGAAAATAATCATAATAATCAATCACATTCCTGATTCTTATCAGATAATTTTACCATGTTCAGCATTTTGTGTTAGTAAAGATTAAGATCATCGGAATGTTCGAAACAATGTTAAAGGCCAAGTAAAGTCATGGATTTAACACTGAAGTCAGTAGGGAGAGAATTACTTGTATAAGCCCTGCTGTGAATCTAGTAAAATTTGAGTTGACCTTGCTCGGGTCGTGTGTGACAACACAGTTTCAAAGCAATCCCTTAAAGCAAAGTTTTATCGAAATAAACAATTTCCACTAATCAAGGGCAATAACTTTTGATAAAAAATAAAACATATTCCTTACAGACTACTTACACAGCAACAACAGTTTTACCAGCTGATGTATGAGCTGAAACTAATACAGATTGATAATTCTCTAAACATAAAATAGCTTCTTTTTGAAATGGATCAAGAATAAAAGGATATTCTTTTGCTGGTTTGTCCGGTGGTGGTTTTAACGGTGTAAATTCAGCATCTGGTGGAATGGCAACCTGTCAATAAAAAGTTGAATGAACATTCATAATATATTTTGTAAAGGAAACAGAAAATGGCAGCTCATTCATTGCTAAAAACACCTATAAACAGTCAGTTTCAAACACATAGAAATTAAAAACTTATTTTAATTGAAAACACAGATTATCATTGAATCAAAGATTAACAAGCTCGACTTACACATATTATGTTTGCTGCCTATTACTGAATATTAAAAATGGTAAACACTTAATTGATGCAACTAATAAAAAAACCTCTCACCTCATGTAAACAAGCTTCTACAGTTTCAACTGTATGAATTTGTATGCGAGGTGTGGAATCTAAGGAGCTAAAATATACATTTTGATTGTCAAATTTTTATGTTTCACTACATACATGAATGTGTACACAATAAAAACATCAAAGCAAACAGAAATGAAATGAAATGGGGTTTAACGTCCTACTGTTCTGCTCCTACCCGGCTAATGAAGACGGGCATACGCCATACAGTGTGTTATGAGGGAAATTTTGCCAGGCGGCGGCACTATGGCCTACTCTTATAGCGAATTCCAACTACTAAGTGATCGTTTACATGCACCTCAGTTTTTTGTCCCATCAGAATGACAAGACGGCTATCTTTGTCAGGCCCTCTGTACACACCACGGACAAGGGAAAACCATGTCGGAAAATCCTGATGAACTTCCTCGGCCAATCCAGGGATCGAACATGCTATCTCCATACTAGCGAGTCTGCATCTTACCCACTCAGCCACCGTGGCTCCCATAAGTGAAAGGAGGGCAGGGACATATATTTCTAGAATACAGTACAATTTACCAATTCAAATCACTCTATATCATAATAAATAAATCTTTGTAAATAGTCTTTAAAATGAATACTACCAAGTATGTCAATAAAAAAAAATTTTTGGGACAAATTCACTAACACCATATCATCAAGTATAAAACAGAATAAATGTACTTTGTATGTTCACTGCATAAGCATATACTTTTTATTATACCTTATTTCATCAGTAAATTTTTTAATTTTTTTGGTCTCCATTTCATCTTCTTCCTCTTCTTTTGGGCGTTTTGTAACAAGTTTTTTAAGTAGATTCTCTGCCCTAAAATTATGTACAAATAATATTTTCAACCTTAGTTAATTTTAATTTCATTGTAGTACTAGAATAACTTATAACTATACTTTCAAAGAATAAAAGCAATTTGACATTTGGAGAACATTAATTTTGCAATATCCTCTATTTAGATTGTGTTAAAATACAATAGCTTAGAAACACTTCACGTGTAATGAAGCGCTATATAAATCGAACAATAATAATAGAATGGATGGGTGAGCTAAACCCAACCACTTTCTTTTGTTGTGCTTTCAAACCAATGGCCACCCAACTCTCTCTAATCAAATAATTACAGGAACAAAACAACAGACTACCGGCGTATTACGAGCGTATATATGTTTTTTAAACGCCTAAACTCATTACTGTTCCAAAAGTAATAGCTAATTCATATGCAAAATTTGAATTGTAAAAGAGACACACACCCTTACGATCGACAAGCATTGCTGGCTGCTGCCACGCTTTTGTACGAAATGATCTAGCCCGATAAGTGAAATATTTGAAGTAATTAGCTTCCATTTTTGTATTTCTCGATGTCAAAGTTTGTGAGGAGTTCAATTTTGCAAGAGGCTTAGACTTAGAGAGAACTTTTTTTTATTCATTATTTGGATATTTAATTGTACAAAGGATTTTATTTAACCAGAGGTGATTTCAAACCCACAGGCAAGTTTTTAATAACCATAATTAAGTTATTTGTTCATAATCAAAGAAATCCGTTTGAAATTTACACGGGTTCAGACAGTAGGTGGCCTACACACATCTAATGTATCATTATCATAGCCTGTATAGTCAGGATATTCATGTATATTTATCAACAACAAATGCTAATTTCAACCTTTTTTCGTCAACATTTAATTTTTTCTGCGTTTTGCTTGTACTGGCTTCTTTACTCTCCTCAAATACGTCAAATAATCCATCTCCAAACGCGTCAGCCATTCTGCAGAAGTGTTATTCAATAATTTAATTCAAAGTTTACTTTCACTTCTAAAAAGTCAGCCATGTGTTTTTAGTGAGCAGGTTCGCACTGAATATTAAGCCCTGTATTGATTTCCATCAATCACCCATAAAAATATATAAACAAATTCATGGAGTGACGAAAATATATTTTAATACAAGTTGATATCTAGTTTTTTTATGTTGCTAATATCAATAAATTTAATGAACATAATTTCTAAATTCGGTCCCTGAAGCTCCATTCGACAGTGTGTAGTTGTTTCGTCCCACACACACTACTATGGGAAGACATTTCGTCCGTATTTGCATCAGAAAGGACACTTAAACTGGTGTTCAAATATTTTTAGAACGATGAGATAATAGTATTTTTACTTTCCACCAGCAAACATAAAGGCATGCACGAAGTATGTAAGCGGAACAAAGCGTTCCAGGAAAACAGGTCAAAAATCCATGTCTCATCACCGGAATTTACTCATCATAAACACCGGATTCACTTATAAAGGGTTGTGGTCATAACGGCCATAAACACCGGTAGTTTAAAAAAAAAAATACACCTACACAATCTTAGCACTGTCTTGAACACATCTGTAGAACAATTGAAATAGTTGTTCATTATAATATGTATTATCAGGGCCCGTGAGGGGGGTGGGGGGCAGCTAGGACACTTTATCCGGAGGTATACCGATGACTTTTCTGAATGTGGGTACATAGTGCTGCGGGTAAACTATGCGATTAAAATCGGATTCTGTTAGACTTAGTCCAGTTTTTTGGGGGGATTTTTTTTTTAGGCTCTCACCACCAGCAGGCTACCCGGGGCCCGACAGTTAATCTATTATTAATTATGATGAGGCTATTGATGAGTTCGCTTCCAAGTGTGCAAGAAAAGTTTCGTTTGAATCCAGTTCAACATGATTTGGGAAATTAAAAAAAGTAAACGAGTTGCTTATAACAGGGTCAAGAGGGCCCTGTCGCGGACCCTGTGTATTATACATTAATAATAGTCTATAGCCAGAGCCAAAAATATGGCTGTCAGAAAATATTTTAATCCAATCAAGAGATAAATAAATTGTGGTATTTAGGTATCTCACATTTTTCCCCAACTCAATTGCCAACTTTTGAGGGTTTGGGGAATCTATAATGACGACCAAATTAAAATGTAACTATTATTTTAAAGATGCATAATGTTAGAATTAAAGGAGCTAAAAGCATTCTGGCACGCGATTCGTGTGCCAATTTTAAAATGTTCACTATGTCTTAAATATTGGATATCTGAAGCCCATCTTTTCACGGTAAGATAACAACATAAATGTTGATTTAAACTGAACAATAAGTCTTGTTTACAATGTCGAAGACTGTGGATGATAATGAGTTAAAGACTTACAGTTACTTTGAATAAAGAGCCGACTGGGCTAATGAAGACGGGCCAGGGGCGTACATAACGATTTTGTTTGGGGGGGGGGGGGTAGCCAAAATGCGACCGACTGATGCACATACCCCCAGTACGAGTGACGCAGTCAGGAGCCGCGCACCACAGGTGCGAGTTTTCTAGGGGCCATGTGCAGAGCGGATCTAGAAGCTGGGGGTGGGGTGGTGTGGTTCCAAATCTAGGGCGCCATCCACAATCCCACCCCACAATGAATGTCAACAAAATACTGGCTATAACATTAAGCGTCCCAGTAGAACATAGACAGTATTGTATAATTATATAGTTGTTCGCCGATCGTTGTCTCGCCGGAAAGCAGTTTATGTCATATATGATGATTGTGCCTATAACACTGAGCAACCTGAGAAAATTTTGAAAAATTGAGTCAATATCCTAGCATTTGAGGTCATTTTTGGGAGAAAGTCTTGTGGACGAGAGGACCAGAAATTTGAGCCAATGGGACAGAATCTCGCGATCTGCCCCTGTCAATTCCGCCTGTTTTGCAAGAGTTGACATAACATTTGTATAGTCTGACGCCCCACGACCCACACAACAGTATAACTGGGCAGTTCACTATAACCGTGAATATGATAGTGCTGAGACAGTATAAGAAAACTGAGACAGTATAAGAAAACAGACGAAGAGAAGAATGATGTTATAACGGAATCGTGCGCCGCAGTCGCGAAAAAATTTCAGATATATGTAACCGAGCTTTTAATTTTTCGGGACTGGGCCTGAAAATTTTAGTCATTGTCATGGCAAATGGAACCAAATTCTCGCCAACGAGAGGATAAGAAATGAGACAGAATCTTGTGGCCTATCTGTCAATTTCGCCTGTTTTGTAATTGTTTATTTACCTCATTAATTCATTTAGTCTGAGACCGACTGCGGTGAGTACTTTTTTTGAGACCGACTAAGTTTTTGCCATGGGGGAAAATCATTTCATAGAACAACATACTCACAACAGAATAAGCGTGACAAACATTTTTTCAAACATGACAAGCAGACATGGTTATTTTATACTATAGTTTTGTGTGACGTATGCAATTTAGACTCACGGATTCACGCAAATACATAGTATTTGGGATCTATTCTGGCATTGTTTGTTTACCTCATTAATTCATTGAGTCGCCAATGCATAATTTTGAGACCGACTGCATAAATGAGTGACTGCACTTTTTTTGAGACCGACTTTTTTTCTCCATAGGGGAAATTTTGTTTATAAACCAACATACTCACAACAGAATAAGAGTGAAACACAACATATTTTCAAACATGATAAGTTGACAAGGTTATTTTATACTAAAGTTTTGCATGAATAGCGTGAGGTATGCAGTGAGCACTTATTTTGATACCGTCGACTGTTCTTATTTTGCGACCGACTGCACTGATTTTGCGACCGACTATTTTTCTTCCTGGGGGGGTGTACCCCCCCCCCCCACACACACACACATTTACGCCCGAGACGGGCGTACGCTATACAGTGTGCTATGAGGGAATTTGTTCCCGGACTACAGCGGAGCTGCGGTCTACTCTTAAATTTCCGGGTCCATAGATTCACCCATAATATCCCAAAAGATTCAAAGATTATCCTAAGAAATGTCGAAGGGGCCACCGCGGTGTGAAAGAAAATAAACTGTTCTGTTTGATTTGGCTAGTTTGTTCTTAAAAACGTTTGGATGCCTTTTGTTGTTTACTATGATCGTATTATATCTATGCTCTGACAGAAACACGTTTTTGCTCAATTCTAATAGCTGCAAATGGTGTACATGTACGGTCGGTTCTAGCAACAACACCTTTGTAGAAGGAACATGGGACGTTTTTGTATTTTATCCCTTTCCAAGCACTAGCAGTGAGTATTTTTTGACCCGGAAGTGGTCTTACTTGTCTGATGCAAGAAGCTCGTAAACCGGTACACGTTGTGTCTTTTTTTAGTTTTCTCATATTAATATTGTAGTTATTTGAAGAAAAATGGTGTTAGATATAGAGCGATTCCGTGCTGAAAAGGGTGGTGACCCAGCTAAAGTCAGAGAAAATCAAGCCAAACGATTCAAAGATGTCACATTGGTGGATAAAGTTGTTGAACGAGATGCATTATGGCGAAAGTTAAGATTTAGAGCAGATGAACTCAACAAACAGAAGAATGCTTGCAGCAAGGTGATAGGTGAAAAAATGAAGAAAAAGGAACCAGTTGGTGATGATGACACTGTTCCTGCCGAAATAACTGAAATGCTGACAGATCAGACGAAGTCTTCGTTCATTGACAAAATAAAAGAATTGACAGTTACACAGATAAAGAAAATTCGAGTTCTGATCGATGAACACATGAAAAAGAATGATGCCGATCTACAAGAAATTAGCACACAGCGAACAGATGCGCTTAAAGAGATTGGAAACATGTTACATGAGTCTGTTATCGTTAGCAATAATGAAGAAGAAAATGGAATAGAGCGCACATATGGAGACCTTGATACCAAGAAACAGTACTCCCATGTTGATTTAGTTGTAATGGTGGATGGAGTCGAGACAGAAAGGGGATGCGTTGTGGCAGGTGGACGTGGCTATTATCTCAAAGGTCCACTTGTATTCCTGGAACAAGCCCTCATTAACCATGCATTAACCTCTTTATATAGCCAAGGCTATGAAGCTCTATACACACCGTTCTTTATGAGAAAAGAAGTCATGCAAGAAGTTGCTCAACTCTCACAGTTCGATGACGAATTGTACAAGGTTTTAGGAAAAGGAAGTGAAAAAAAAGAAGATGGAAGTGTAGATGAAAAATATTTGATTGCCACATCGGAACAGCCTATTGCTGCCTATCATAGAGATGAATGGATCCCTACTGAGTCCTTACCTATTAAATATGCTGGATACTCAACTTGTTTTCGACAAGAGGTCGGATCCCACGGTCGAGACACGAGAGGAATTTTCCGTGTTCATCAGTTTGAGAAAATTGAACAATTTTGTATTACCTCCCCCCATGACAATAAATCCTGGGAAATGTTTGATGATATGATTAATAATGCTGAGGAATTTACAAAATCATTAGGTATTCCTTACCGCGTGGTCAATATAGTTTCTGGAGAGTTGAATAATGCTGCAGCAAAGAAATTAGATTTAGAAGCATGGTTTCCTGGATCAGGTGCTTTCCGAGAATTAGTATCCTGTTCAAATTGTACAGATTATCAATCCAGAAGATTACGGATAAGATATGGACAAACAAAAAAGATGAATCAAGAAGTTGATTTTGTTCACATGTTAAATGCTACCATGTGTGCTACCACTCGAGTGATCTGTGCTATTCTGGAAAACTTCCAAACAGAAGAAGGCGTAATGGTTCCAGAAGTTCTTCAGAAGTTTATGCCACAACAAATTAAAGAATTAATTCCTTTTGTTAAACCAGCACCAATAGACGAGCTGGAGAATAAAAAACAGAAGAAAAGTAAAGACAAATTAGCAGAGGGTGTCAATAAAATGAATATAAATTAAACTGTGATCTAATAACTATGTATAAAATATTATTTATTATAATGTACATCATAATAATACAATATGAATGAACATCTACTTACATTGAACATCTAGATTTTTAAGCAATTATTTAATTAGTGAACGCCTGATCACAATGTCACCATAAAAGTGTGTTGTTATCACTCCCATTTTTCCATTACTAAATCTTCTGCCATGTGTCTACCACTTGGATAAGCTGTATTACATATACAGTGAAAATCCTGGTTTCTAAAAGAAAATATAGGTGGACAGATTCTGTGATCACTATGACCAAATTCTGGAATCTGTCTCCGGCTTACATTCCAGGCACTTTTTTAGAAAAATATTGTTGTTCAGACTCGAGCTTTAATCACTTTGAATTAGGGTTGCAACGATGAATCGATGAACCGCGATGTTTTAAAAATACACGATGCACGATACAATCAGTGGCTGTATCGTGGTTATCCAAATAATAATTTCACAAAAATAGACTGATATTTCTTTAAATGCGTATTTATGAGCAAAATAACTTTTTTTACTTTCAGCGGGTGTTAAGGCGTTTCAGACACATGAAGTGGCTTATTATAGCTATTTCATCAAAATTAAAATAAGTCTGGTTAAGCAAGTCGTGCTGGAAATTAAGTTACGTAAAAATTACACACTTGAATAATGTGGAAAAAAACAACATAATAATAATATATATTTATATATATATATATAGGTCTATATACGTCTGTAATATGCGATTTGTGATAATATTACTGTATAAGAATGGCGATTTGTACATACTGCATACATTGATCTGCACATTTTCAATGTATATTAATATTTGATATTAAAATCTTTGTAATGTTATTTCCTTTGCTGTTCCATAATCTATGACTGACCTTACACCGAGAAAACTTTTCATTGGGTGAAATTATTGTGGCAATACGAGCCAGCCAGCTAATATTTTTTCATATTGAATTCACCAAATTCAAGTTGCATGATTGACAAAAGCAATATTGAGATCGAAATCCCCCATACCAAGTATATAAGTCACAAGTCAAGTATGGGAGTTTTTAGGATTTCCCATTACGCATGACAGTAATGAAATCCGGTCAGTTGACCGAGAAAACACCACATTTAAAGTAAATCATAAAAGTAGGCCTTTGAGTTGTCACACTGAAAGATTGTCAAAATTTAACAGCATTTTTTAAAATTTATTTCCTACATCACGATATCAATTGTATCGTAGACTATGAATTGTGATGGCGCATCGTATCATTGCAGCCCTACTTTAAATGATCTTAAATCATATTATATGTAATATTCAGTAAGGGCATTTCAATATTTATCACTTTTGAGTATATTTATTGCTCCTATTATAATAATTTTTAATAAATTATTAATTTTTCAGAACAACACTTTAAAGTTTAAAGGCACAATTTGTCAATTACATAATACTCAAAGCAACTTGTAAGTGGGGGTGTTGTGTTTGTGACCAGCATTTTAGAATGTAAATTGCTTGTTAATCATGATGGTTATGTTACACTCTACATGTAAGCTTAATATTATGAATTGTATTATGCTTTATATACATATGTGACTGTCATTAAAGGATTTACAGTAAAATAACTGTAGTCCAACTTACAAAAACCAGTTTAATTTTTCTTCTTATTATTATTTGATATCTAAATTTTAGCCCGTTTACAAACAAGCCAACAGTGAGGCTGATGTCCTCCGCCGAAATCTCCCAAAATAAATAGATGACACATATTCAGGGCTGTCGGTAATTTTTCACGGTTGATTAGCAGCACTGCTAATCAAAAAGTCCAATTTTGCCAAATTTGATTAGCAAATTTAAAAATTGATGAGCAGTTTTTCAGTTTCAACATAAAACACCTAAATAACAAGATATTACTTTAGTTCATAACAAATATGATTAGATTCCATTCTTACTAATCTTAGATTTTTTTAGGACTGCCACAAGTACTTGTGACAGTTTGTGAATGTGATGTAGACATTTAGTTAGGTCTTATGTCTGAAGCCAATTCTAAACAGTGACTTCCGAAGCCCCAATCATTTTAATTGTTATTTTTTGTACGTTAGAAATCTTCGTTAGAAAACAATTTCGTCTGCTTTTTATCGTGTATTGCCTTTCTTGTTCAATCGGGCGCACCTCGATTGACTAGACACACGTGATATTTTACGGGAATTTTTACTTTGATTTATCATTTTACAATACGTTAACATTTATTTTTTTATATTTTATTTACAATACGTAGAGGATACACTGGATTTATTTCTTTCAAAATATAATACAATTACTTGATGTCTCGCAACGTGAGTGGTACTACTTGATTCCCTGTTTCCGGTTTAATAGTCCCTATTCATAGAGTTATGTCCCTGTATTATATAGTACCGTATAATGAATTGTGTCTGGGTAGTTCGAGAAGAAAATGTCACACGGAGAATTCAGTTTTGTTTATAAAATTTTATTCAACATTTTATACTCGTTGAAATTGTTGAGAAAGCTTTCTAGTCTTCAAATGTGGATTATCCTTGTGTCAATATCCAAAATGACAGGCATATTAATGATTCGCAGTTACTGCGAATCAAAAACTTTAGATTTTAATTTTTGATTAGCAACGGACAAAATATGTATCGCAAATTGCGCTGCGATACTGGTTGTCGGCAGCCCTGCACATATTAATTAATCGCACAATTATTTTTTTCAAAAGTATCAAGCAATCAAACTGATATCAACTATACACTAAGTTACATCACTCTTTATCAGATAGAATCAAAGTTATCTTGTCCCAAAGCATCGACCAATGAAATTGCTTAGCTCTGTTTAGCTTTAGCTCGAAATGTTAATCATTGAACTCTGTCAAGACATTCACCTAATGAACATTCTACCCCAAAAGCAGAGTTATGTTCCAAAGTCTTGACCAATCAAATTGCTTCTCATCATCAAACTTAGTCAAGGTAATGATATAATGAATCTATACTCGGAGTTTCATCACTCTCATTTAATTAAAACCAAAGTTATTGCCCCCAAAGCATCAACCAATCAGATTGCTTATCTCTGCTTACCCTAAGCAGAAAATGCTCATCTTCGAACTCCAAGACATTCGCCTAATAAACACCTGCACCAAGTCTGAACGTTCTAGCTCAATTAGAAGGAAAGTTATTGTGTTCCACAGTCTCGGCCAATCAAATTACTTATCACTCTGCTTACCCTGAGCAGAAAATGCTCATTATCAAACTTAGTCAAGGTAATGATGTAATGAAACTATACACCAAATTTCATCACTCTCACTTAATTAGAACTAAAGTTATGGTGTCCCAACGCATCAACCAATCAAATTGCTTATCTCTGCTTACCCTAAGCAAAAAATGCTCATCTTCGAACTCCATCAAGGCATTTGCCTAAAAAAAAACACCTACACCAAGTTTGAACATTCTAGCTCAATTAGAAAGAGTTATTGTGTCCCAAAAAGTGTGACAGGCGGACAGACAGACACTCTTGAACATCAATCAACTTCTTTCTCTTGTTTCAGTGGGGTTCCATGTTCATATACTATTCAAAAAAAGTAGGGGATATTTGATTTTTAAGTGTTATTAAAGTCACCTAATGAAACTGACGAAGAAACAAATGACAAAATGAAATGAAGTTCACATTCATCGATTTATTCCAAATGATCGTTAGACTAAGTAAGGCACAGACTGACCATTATAAGGGTAAAATGATACCCGGGGTCAAACAGCAAAGTTACCACAGCATCACAACCAAGTCAGTAACGGGTAAATCCTCCTCTGTTTGCCAAACAAGCATTGATCCGACGTGGCATACTCCTAATGAGACGTCTAAGGTCATTTTGGTCCAGATTGTCCCATTCCTGTTGCAACGCAGCAACAAGTTCTTGGACATTGGCAGGACGTTGTTGACGTTGACGTAACCTCTGTCCAAGCATGTCCCAGACATGCTCGATGGGGGAGAGGTCGGGACTCAGTGCTGGCCAAGGTAATGTGGTGATGTTCTGTTGTTGGAGGTAACCTGTAACGATCCTGGCCCTGTGACATCTTGCGTTGTCATCCTGGAAGATGAAACGGCGGCCATGACGTCGTGCGAACGGCACAACATGGACTGCCAAGATGTTGTCCCGGTAGTACTGGCCTGTAACACGCCCTGCAACAACATGTAAAGCCGTTCTTCCAGCAACAGTGATGCCTCCCCACACCATAACAGAACCACCCCCAAATCGATCATGTCTGATGACGTTAACGTCTTGGAAGCGCTCGTTTCGACGATGCCACACCCTCCTACGTCTGTCCAAAAAATCAACAGTGAACCTTGACTCATCTGAAAACATCACATTGCTCCAGCGTCGATTATCCCAGTGTTGACGATCCCTACACCAACGACGTCTTGCCTGAATGTGATGATCTCTCAAACAAGGGATCACGCGAGGACGTCGGGCGCGAAGGTGACCCCTATGCAGTCGATTCCGAATCGTCTGGCCACTCACTCTCACACCAGTGTCTGTTTGAAGACGAGCGCTGATCTGATTTGCTGTGATGACACGATTTCTCAAGGCCAAGGTACGGATAAATCGATCCTGGGCTTGAGTTGTCGCCCTTGGTCGACCTGAGCGTGGTCTGTCCTGTACAGATTGTGTATCACGGTATCTGGACCATAGCCTGCTTATGACAGACTGAGAAACATTCATCGTCCGCGCCACAACCGCCTGTGTTGTGCCGATCTGTAGCATGCCAAGGGCACGTAACCTTTCATTTTGGGTAAGCCGACGCATATCAAAATTTGTTTTCTGGTCACTAAAACAATTAAACTGATGTTTCCACCCTGGAATTCAATGCCACAATGACTGTAACATTCAAAGTCAGAGTCGTGCAAATCTTGGGTTGGACCCCCATGATGATCCCAAGCATAACCTGCATTTCATGCGGTAGCTATTGGTGCGTTTGGGCGTCACATGTAACTGGAAATGTTTCTTCTGTTAGGTTCTATAGTGACTTTTTTCGTAGTCATTTGCATATTTTAGTATTATGCCCCCAAAATCAAATATCCCCTACTTTTTTTGAATAGTATAATTAGTTAGTTAAAAAATGTAATCAATTGCTGTTTCACATCCTACTTTTCTTCAAAAACTGGGCTAATGAAAGATGGTCATGTCATACATTATGCAATGTGCTGTGAGGGAAATTTAACGTGCAAGCCAACATGTACAAAGGGGGAAATCCAGAGGATGAACACTACTGAGTTGACCTAGTGTATATAATTTTTATACAGCCACATATTAAGTTTCTGTGGAGTTTCAGGTGAGGTGCTTGACCAGCAATCAGCCTTTGCCAGAATAAACCAGTCTCTGAGACGCATGCTCAGTAATAACTTCCCTCTAAACTTTTTGGTATTCTTTTGTTGTTCTCCAGAGTGTAATACCTGGTAGGTTATTGCTGTGTGGTTATTACTGCCTAACAAAGTTTATAAATGACATGTGTGACTGAATTTCAACTGAATTCTCACTTATGAATAGCCGAACAATCTCAATAGCCCTATCTCTTCACATGCTAAGACTAGCTGTTACCTTTCACTTGGACAAACAGTTGTCTGCCAAACTTGTGGTTGACAGGATAGAATGTCTAAATGAACCTTTATTATTGTTTTATTGTAAGCTGCTTGATCACTTTCAATTTTATTTTTCATGAATGTCTAGTAGGTTAGAAAGGTTGTCAAGATGACCCTATTAACACTGCAGGAACATGACTCTAAAACAAAACATATTTTTAAATATTGCAATTTATTTAACAAAAATATTAATATAAAATTTCAAGATTTATTTAATTCCTCTGAACTGGGTGGATGTTGTAATACTGTATCTATTAATCCATATTCTTTGGCTTCGTGTGGATTCATAAACCTATCACGTTCCATATTTTGTTCTGAAAAGAAATAATCAGATGAGGTGGAAATTTAAAGTGAAATAGATATTCTCACCCACATATATTTCAGGTGGTTGTTGGAAATTTATCAGTATTGTAAAGATCAAGTCTGTAAAGTAATAAAACTAGTCAACTTTATGTTGTTTCAAATCTAAGACTACCTATGCTGGTGGAATAATGTTTAAAGGGAAATGGTCACTATCACCAAGTATTCCATCTGCTTTACCGGAAAGAATTGCGCTCTACAAATTCATATTTGGCATTGATGAGTTAAAGCTGGACATCGAACAAACTAATCTCAGCTCACAGTAACCTTTAACCCCTCTGTTCCATACTGACCAAAGAGCACACTTTAGATTATATTTTCAACTTACGTATTGTTTCTAAGGGCTGATTGGTGTGTTTAACATATATACCATTAAGTTGTTTCTTTAACTTTAATATTTCTTCTGCCTGTATTTGTATATCTGTTGCCTGGCCCTAGAATAATTTTATAACATGGTAAAAATTAATTTACGAAAACATTTCCCTTCCAGAGTGCAATGGGTAGAACACTGATCGGCCAAAAGCGAGGTCACTTCTTCCAAGCTCATATCACATAGAAAAACAAAACAGTCCTGATAGTTTCAAGATTTACTTTTTATAGTGCTAGCCCCTATTTCTTATCATTGTTGTAAAATTACAAATTTACATGGCAGAAAAAAAGATTTCATAACGAGAAACAGTTACCACTGGAGAAAAAACACTTATTAATTAAGCCTACAGTACTGCAGTGACTTTTGTTGTCCATCACCAATCTTTACTTGACCTGGGCAAGCAGGCAACTGCTCACATCAAGCCCTGTTAGTATTGCTATCGATACCTGTTTTCAAAAGTTAAAATATATGATGATGGAATTTTAAATAGGAACAGATTAAGAAAAAGAAAAAGTTACCGCTGCTTGTCCTGAGGGTTGGTGGATCATGATCCTAGCATTAGGTAATGAATATCTCATATCTTTTGTTCCAGCACATAATAACAGCGATCCCATACTACAAGCCTGACCTACACACCATGTTGATATAGGGGGCTGTACATACTGCATTGTGTCATATATACCTAAACCTGCTGTAACTGAGCCACCTAAAATATACAAACACATGTATTCAAGAACCAAGTTACTAGTTTGTAGTAGATGTACAATAGTCAAAAAAGCAGTTTTAGATCTGACAGGTATCAGAGAGAGAGAGAGAAGGGGTTTAACGTCCACTCGACACAAACTAGGTCATTTCGGGACTAACATATGGTTTAATTTTATTTCAATAATTCACTTGCGCGTAGGGGTCTTTAGCAGTGGGAGGAAACCGGAGGACCCAGAGAAAACCCACGAGGTTGGACAGGCGATGACAGGTATCAACCATACATAATATAATAGATGTTTGTAGTGGACATTCCAAAGTGATCTCAGAAGCTGTGAAATGGGTAATGTGAATATTTGAAAGATTATGTTATTTAAGGTATTAAAAACAGCGAAAGTATTGTTCGTCTCCAAACAGTATTTACATTGTAGCCATTTTGATAGCCTCATTTGTCACGCAATTAGTTTTTCTGCAATATTCTGCGTAATAAATTTAGGAGATCGGTTTAAACTCGAATGATATTGTTACGCAGTTAGGTATTGGGTGTTAATCGGACTATTGACCAGTCAGAATTTGGAACAGATATTTGCTTTCATTACAGCAGGTCAGGTGATCGATCCCTGCATTGGCCGAGAAAGTTCATCCAGATTTTCCGGCGTGGTTCCCCCTTCTCAGTGATGCAGGACGGAGGGCCTGACAAGGACAGCTGTCTAGTCCTTCGGATGAGACGAAAAACCGAGGTCCCGTGTATACATTAGAATGCACGTAAAAGATCCCTTGGCAGTTGGCGGCGATAGTGCCGCTGCCCGGGCAAAATTTCCCTCATAGCACACTGTATGGCGTATGCCCGTCTTCATTAGCCAAGCATAGGAGCAGAACAGTAGGACATTAAACCCTATTTCATTTCATTTCATTACAGCAGTATTAAGTGGAATTAGGTCTATTCAAACGAAACACTGTGAGGAGTATGCACGAAAATCTGTCAAAAGAACTGGAAATTTCCTTAAAAAAAAACAACATTCATTTTTTGTTTAACCTGGCTCCTTCCTATGCATGACATCCATCGCTACTTACAGCAAATTGAAACAACAAGCGACAAAAAGTCAAGCATTCAGAATGACAAAAGATGAAACCTTTCTTTTTTAGGTGAATGTTTTACAAAATTTAAACACATTTTACCAGGTGAATTGTGCAATACAATTAATACAATAATTACAAATTGTTACCAGAATTTTACCTGGACTGTTAATATACATATGTATTGGTTTTTTGTTACTTTCTGATTGAAGAAATAATAACTGTGCTATAACTCCACTCGATAACCCATCATCAATCTGAAAAAAACCCAAATAAATTTCCTTATTTCCGTTATATCACAGGCGATAATCCAATCCAGGAAGTTATGGTCCTATGCACAAATATCGAAAGGAAGCTCGATCTTTGGGATATAAACATAGATTTTAAGTTTCATCAATATCAGATAAAAATTGTGACCTCTAGATGGTCTAAAACCTTGGTATTACATACTTTTAGACTATTTGCGTACATGGAGCAGGCATTTTTGGTTTTATTTTCACCATCATTATGGTGTAAAACAGTGATATATTTAAAAGTTTTGTTTTTTTTTCAAATCGGATAAAAATTGTGACCTAGAGGAACAAAAAGCTTAAAAACGTGATTTTTTGTACAAGCATGGGCCATAATCCAGGAAGTTACAGTCTGATATGCACGAATACTGAAAGGAACCAAGAGATCTTTGGGTTATAGACATGTATTTCAAGTTTCATCTAAATTGGATAAAAATTGTGACCTTGAGAGTGTAAATATGCTTAAAACTTGATTTTTCGTACACTCAGGGGCCATAATCCATGAAGTTATGGTCCGATACATGCCTATATATAAAGGAATCAAGATCTTTTGGAGATAAATCTATATTTCAAGTTTCGTCAAAACTGGATAAAACGTAGAGTACTCACAAACAAATTGTGGACGAATGAACAGCAGTCGTTATTCTTTCTAATTCAGAGGAGAGCCATAAAAAGCTCCCCTCAATCAACGAATTGAAAATATTGCTCCCCTCAAAAAACTCTCCCAGTTTTGATAAGAGTGATTTAGAAATTAAGGAGAGTGATCTGATATTAAGGAGAGTGGTTAGTTACGGTATGTGCATGGGAAATGGTTCTAAGATCAATAACTGCATGTAATGGGGTCATTCCTGGTTTAATAAATGATAATAAACCCCCAATGACTATGTAAAGGAGAGCGATTTTCAGTTTTAAGGGGAGGGAAAAAAAACTTCCATCGGTCCACGTTCAGGTGAGCGGAAGGCGCTCGAGAGCGATCGCTAACCTTAAAAAACAATGACTGGAACAGGGTTGACGACAATAGGCCTATACATTTACATGAAAATGTGGGCATAAAATAAGTTTTGGACTTTGGTTTACCATTTATTTAAATGTAAATTATTGCACCTGCAACCATATAGAATTGTCATTTATAGAAACCCATGATTGTGTGTGAAGAGTTGGGATGCTTGCCTGCACTGGTTTGTTTTCTAGGCATTCCCAGATTTCCTCTCACTCCAAAACAGCCATGTGCAAATAAAATAATTAAATAAAATTTCATATGTTAGTCCCAAAATTGTTGAGCAGATGTTATGTATAGTCTACACCATTCAGCATCTCTTAAAATATGCTTTGTTTATACTTACGACTCCCATAACACAGATAATTCTTTCTTTAAGCAACCTTGAATAAATATCATAAGCTCTCTCACCATGTCTTGTTTGTTCTATTACCATAGGTATAAAGTTACGTACAGCTGATTTATGTAGACATCTTTTAAATGTTGACAGTGAAGCCGAGGTTAAAGTCTGTAAAAATTAGATTTGAATAAGCATTTTTTATAATTTATAATATATAAAAGAAAGTTTGTTTGTGTGTTCGTTAGGAAACCAAACAGTTGAAATTATATAATTTAAAATAACTTCATAATAATAGGAGCTCTAAAATTATGACATATCATATGACTGTGACACAATAATAATAATAATTTATAGGCTTATAAAAATGTCAATTGAAAGTGTGACACATAAATAAAAAAATTTAAAAAAGGCATTACCACTTATCAACAATACCGGTACATGTAATTAATTTTTAATAATATTAGCTTTTAAAAAATAACCCTTTGTAGGGCCTAGACTCAACTTTAGATTTACTATTTAGAGCAAAGAGCTTTTTTGAGATGAGTGTGTGTAAATAAAATAAAGTATAAAGTGGATGATGGAATCTTTAATCTTACATAAAATTATGATAAAAATAAAATATTGCATGTCAATCATTTTCCGGTCCTTTAGGACACGGCAGGACTACTTCTGAAGTAAACTCTTGCAAATTTAATACTTAGTTGTCTACAATTATTGAACTTTACCGGTACTTACAATTTTTCTTAAGAAATCCATGCTTAGGTCCAGAAATTACTTTTTGTTCAGTCGATAAAAAGTCATGAACTTGGGTTATCTACCCATGGGAGGTAACTCACAATATTATTGTTCCGTTTCCAAGATGGACGACTGTAAACAATCTTTCTAAGTCAGATTCCCTTTGACCAGCTTTTATTTTACTTGTGTCAGTATGGCATCATCCGTGCGACGAAATACTTACGTAGTAGGAGGGTTTGTACATTTATGACAGATAAAATCTCACGAAAACCTAACCACTGATATTTTAAGATGTGTTGCTACGGTATCGGCATTATCAACAACTCAACGGTCTCCCTATTTTAAACTACCTAAGTCTCTAACTCAATATCATCCAAAATCTTCAACATTGAAAACACAAATTATTTGTCAATTTAAATCAACATTGATGCTGTGATCTTACCGGAAAAATATGGGCTTCTGATATCCAATATTTAAGACAAAATAAACATTTTACCATTGGATTGGTACACGAATCGTACAATGCGTTTATTACCTCTTCAGCCCCAGTTCTAGCAAGAGACTCGAGGAACGAGGCTAGACATATTGCACCAAACCAAACGGCGTATGTAGACTGGAATAACCAGGCGCTAGAAATTTGCATTCGATTGAGACTGCTGGCTTATTTCGCGGAACATAACTGATTTGAAATTAGAGTAAAAACGGAAACCATTTAATGTATATCAGTTTATATACATTCATATTACAGTATTATATGAGTTCCGACCCACTTGTGTCAATTTCTAGGTCCCAAATGTTAGCGATTTAGCTCCTTTAACTATTTAGTAAAGAGCCATGGCCTCAACAATCATTCAATCAAGAAATTATCAATAAAATGGTCTCGATCAACCGTTATTCAATCCCAGTGACAGGGAGTTATTCAATCTCAGTGGCTGGGAGTATATGCAAACAATGCTAAAGAAATAAATTACATAAAACTGATGTTGGTTTTTAGATAGGCTTGCTATGATCATAATGATGGGTAACAACAGGAACAGGGCCTAGGTCCTCTAGGTGTTTTCTAAATAGCTCTGGAAGTTTGTTGTCACCAAAAAGAAAAATCTGTGTAATTGATTCTTGTGTCCTCCATATGGCAAACTTTCTGTAAATCATGTTGGGATGTAATAATGATATCCAGGTTTCTGCAATATGTCACAAGAAATATGTCATAGCCAAGGCCTCATATGACATCAGACATTTAAATTCAGATGAAATATCAAAATGAAAGACACAATCTTGAATCATTCACATCCTTTGCATGGCTGCTTTAGTTATGATAGAATCTATAAAATTTATTTTATTTTTTAGGCCTATTTAAAGGAAAAATTGTCAAAAAATTTACAGGTATTACGGTATTTCATAAAATGTCACAAAAATAGACAAGATATTAAAATGATTCAACATAATAAATTTTTGTGTTGTTAATTTCAGGATGATGCCTGCTCCACTTTTACCAGTTACTAGTAAAGTTGAAATGGAGACCAGTAGAACAGTAAGACAAAACTTAATGAGACTGAAAGTGAATCGGATAGCTCTTGTGCAAGAACTCAAAGTTGAAAATATTTTGCCAATATTAAGACAAAAGGGTGTTTTGACATCTGCAGATAAGAATGAAATTATGCAAGGATCTACAAGCCAGGACAAGGCTAGAATTTTAATTGACATTTTGCCGACTAAAAAGAAAGAAACAGACTGGTACAAACATTTTCGAGATGCTTTATTGGGTCCAAATGGTGGAACTGAGGTCAAAAAACGATACCATCTGCTTGTGGAGTTTTTAGACAACACCTTTATACAACGACCAGCTTCCACGAAAGTTAAAATAAGTGGGGTTGACAATAATGTGGATTCCTTAGCGTTCAAAAAATATGAATTACTTCCAGAAATCTCTGACAGCTCAAAAATTGTAGCAAATGATGATGATAAATCGAGCAGTCAAAACTCAGAATCAGAAAAGTCAAGGAGAAATAAATCACCAAATGTTCTTGTTCTTAATAGATACAGTCAGTCTGATGGTGAAGAAAATAGTTTAACAGAAAAGGAAATAAACGACAACACATCTGAGATTGGAAGTAAAGTTTCTGGTGGTGCCAATATTGATAACAATAACAAAGAGGCAATGACATTAGTGAAGGGATACCTCCATCAATGGGTACCGAATCCTGAAAATTTTACATCCCAAATTATAATGCCAGAGGAATTACTTTCGAAGTTAGAGAAGTCATCTTCATTTGAAGACAAAGAACAATTAAATCATGAAAAGAAAATTTTAGCAAAACTGCAGAAAGTTGAAATGATTACAGTTTTGAAAAAGCAAAACCAACTACCTGCTGGATTTGAGCTCTGTATGTGTGAAGCTATGGTAGAAATTCTCATTGAGCCCCAGTTCTATTATTCATATGTTAAATATTCTAAGAGCATTGAATCCTTAGCAAGAGATCTGAATGAGTCCTATTCTACTGTTTTGAAAACCATTAATTCTTCTCAGAATAAAGAAGCAACAGACCAGGCCATCATACATGGTTTCCAATTATGTGATTTTTTCTTAGAACTGAGTTACTTTCATGAAGCTGAGGAAGTCATCAGCCTTCTGGCTGATTTTCTAACCGCAGATTCTAATATTGATACTTGGATGGCGAGATATAAAGCCTATGTTAAACTCACTGAAGTTAGAAACAGAAATTACAACTTTCAGGGAGCAGAACAAGCTTATTTTTGGTCTGTTCAAATGACATGGCCAATACAACTGATGTCATTTGGAAAAGATTTGATAGAAGAAGGGGATCTGTTGGTTCAAATGAGTCATTATCAATTAGAACAGGGTTCTTTAACATCTGGCTATGGTTGGGCTAAGAGAGCATTACAGGTATTGTTTTTTTTTAATATAATAGCCTATAGGCGATACATCATATAGAAACATAAAGTAGTATTCTTGTTGAGAAATTGATATATTACATGTATATTCAAAATAAATTAAGTTAAACCCTAATTATGAAACATTTAAAACCTGTGTTCAAGGAGCATACTGCACACTACAACCGATGTCTCCTTGGAGAATAAAGTTTGTAAAAGCATCTACACAGGTACTTCAAACTGGTGGATACCTTTTGAAATAGTAGAATTTCTGGATAAAGAAGTTATCTGTAGAATCATTTATGGTTGTAAAAATTATGAATTCTGAAACATCTTTTGATCTGTTACAGGAGTTTTCACCAAACAATCATGTTGGAATAGTGAATGCTTTATGTAATGGTGTCATAGCTTTTTGTAGTAAATTACAAATTAAGAAAGCAGGAGAAATGGCAGTTCAAGCTGTCATACAAGCCAAGTAAGTTTTTCTCTGTTAATATAGAACTAACTTATTGAATGACATTATGACAATATATTTATCTTTAGAACAAATTGTATTCATTTTCTGTGTCTTTTAGCCATATATAAATTGTTTTAAAAAATATCCTCATTGATTACCATACTTTCATATTTCCTGCCGTAAAAAGTGGGGTTAAAAGAAATGGCAGATATTATATTCTGTGGTCCATGGAGATGACAGATGTAATCTGTGCTTGCATCAATCATTAAACCATTTTGTTTTTAACTTCTTTTAAATGAACTTGACATGCAGAAGTAAATTCAGATATGTAACACAAGAATAGTTAATTATATAAATATATTTCTGTACACATCACGAATGGACACATGATACGAGAAATGATATGGGATATTTGTTATTAGTCATTTAGATACTTGATTCTTTTACAAAAAAATTTTTTTTAAAAAGAAATTCTCCATCACCAGATTTTTCAGAACGATTCTCCAAGAACCCCAAAATATTTTTATATCATCTTAAATATATGATATATATTTTTTTGCAGGTCATATTTTGGTAAAAGTCACCCATTATATCTGAAAGCTTTATTACATATGTGTCATTTTACCAGTGAATTTATTCAAGAAGATGTAACATTACAGATTGCTGAGGTAAATATAGAAAATATATAACTTTTAGGAGCACATTGTAGGTTGTGTGCATAACTCATTATTACTCTCAGTTTAGCTTTACTCAATATAATTTCAACGACTAAGTGCGCTTTACAAAATATGGTACAGAAATTAAATATACAAATAAAATAAATACTGGTAAACTAAAATACAAATAAGACATACATTGAAATCAACTTAAACATGCATTATGCAAGACCTAAATCTGCCTATTGCAGGTCTTTCTTTAGGCCTGAAATGTTTTCTAAAGTATTAATTAGTCATTAATTTACTGATCCAAGCCTTAATCAACTCTCAATGGCATCAGATTTCTCCGATATTAAATAGATTAGAATGGTTCATCGATACTTTGATTTAATCAAATATGGAGGACCGAGACTTAGCTTCGATCAACCAGTACGGTGGTTGAAATTATTGCACACATCGGTCAAACCTTCAGAGTAATTTGAATGAAATTTTCAAATTATTCATTTTACATCATCTACTGTTGAACTATTATAGCAAGAATGGCCAGTTCTTTATCTAAATCTTACATAATGTATCTTTAATTCATTAATGTATAAACCTATGGATAAAAAGAAGGACACTTTTGCTGATGATCATACAATGTGAAATATTTTAATTCTAAAATACTAACTTATATAAACAATCATAAATGTTTGAAAATTCTTTGGTGGGTTACCAAAATAATGTTTGTTAGAGTATTAGTGACGTTGGGCATTATTCAAGAATATTGCAAGTAGGCCTACAGGAGCTTAAATATGCACTTTCAACAATTAGTTTGATTAAACGTTGAATAAACATGCATTACAAAATAAAAATTTATTGTATACAACTCGTCTAATCATTAAACATGCATTATGCAAGAGCTAAATCTGTCTATTGCAGGTCTTTTTTTAGGCCTGAAATGTTTTCTAAAGAATTAATTAGACATTAATTAACAAAACAAGACCCTAATCAACTCTAGATGGCATCACTAGCCTGCGATCTTTAGTGGATTATGAGCCGATTTACTGTATAACTTTCCTTCACGATTTAACGATTAAATGGATAATCAAGACTATGCTGTTTATCGTATTGACTTTAGTAATGATGATTGAGGCTAGGCGGGAATTTCAATCCTTAGTTCATAGTGGATCAATTTGAATGAAATTTTCATTATCTAGTTTTTAACTATTATAGTGAGAACTGCCAACTCGTTATTGAATCTCCCATAATGTATCTTTAATTTGAATAAAACATCTAATCAACCGAATTAGATACTTTGACCAAAATCTGAGGTTTAATTATTAAACGGGTAGATAAGGATATTACTATACTATCAACATGCAAATTCAATTATCTTTAAATAAATGGATTTAAGATCACTGATATTGATTCTGTATACATGTATAACTTTTATTTATTTTCAGCTGACTTTAGATGTGGCAGTAAAAATGTATGGATGTCAGTGTTTACAAGTAGCCTTTGCCCATAGAGCTGTTTCCAAGGCTTTGATGGTTTTACATAAATTTGATTCTGATGACTACTATAACCATTCTATGGAAGCTGTTAGAATTGTACGGGGTATTTTTCCAACTCAGCATCCTGTTCTCTATGTTTTTCTTCATACATTTGGTAAGTATAGAACTTTGTAAGCATTTCTAATAGAAACAAGAAACCAAGTCATCAACATCCTGCATTCTTGTATATCAAAAGCTATGTCAAATTCACAAATTCAATTCGAGGAATTTCTAATCTGCAAAAGGCACAACTACGTAGGATTGGTGAGTGTACAAAGTTTTATAAAGATATCTGGAACGGTTTGTGAAACCTCCTTTGACTTCATACTCTGAGGGAAAATACCGAAATATAGCTTTTATCAAACTTCACTCTGTAATTGAAATACCCTGTGTTATGTTTTTTTAAATAATTAAGGTGGTGTTTGTCATTAAAATTGTTAGGCAAAAAGACATTAAAAACTCTGTGTTGTTCTCTATTATGTGCCTCTTGAAAACTCTTCAATATCCAGATTGATATTATCAATTTCTTACAGCCTCAGCACTACAATGGAAAGCTTTAAATGGCCCAAAAGAGGTTCATGATTCAACTTTAAACTGGGCGGAAGTGGAAGCCAAACAGGCCTTGATTATCTCTAAATCTTGTTATGGAGATATTAGCCTTCGAACAGCTCAGATATATTCCTTGTTAGGACAAATCTACTCAAAAATGACAAGGTACCTTTTACGTAATTCTAATTATAGAATATTATTTTTTGATAATGTTCATTGGTTATTTATGAGCATAAACTTGCAGAAATATCACTATTGATTGTAATTGTAGTAATTAAAAATCAAAGGTAATAACATGTAATATTTAAGTTTATTATAATGATTTTAGATTTATAAAAATCAATATTTTTCAGCCATCCTGAAATAAATCATGATTTGTGAGTAGAAAAGTAGTCTTCCAAAAACACTCAACTTTTACTTTTGCTGCTTTTAGACTTACAAACCAGAAATTTTAACAATTTGTTTTCAATGGAGCATAAAAAAATTCTTTTTTTTTATAGTTAGAAACTTTAATGTACAGTATTCGGCTAGTAACATATTAGAAAATACAACACATGTACTTGTAGTTTGTTGTATAGCTGAATATTTTTATAAGCTTGCTCATAATAATCATAATGCTTTTTACACTAACTTTTTTTTTTGTTTTACGAAAAAAAATTCAATTAATATTGCCTTATTGAAAGATTTTATATTGCCACAGTTCTGTGTGGGTGTATTATAGTCGTTACCCATATCCATCTGTCAAGAATTGACTTGTAAATGCAATAGAAACTACGGTTTTTAATATTGTGTTTTCGATGAGAGGATAAACCCTATTGATTTTTAGCGTTCTGTGACTTTCTGTTCGCAAGTGAGGGGTTGGATGGCCGAATGGTTAGCACGCGCGCGCTGTATCATACGGTCTGTCATTGAGTCAACTGGCGGGGTTTCGATTCCCTAGTTGTACGTGACAAGGAGTAGGGTTGCCTGTCCAACCTCGTGGGTTTTCTCCGGGTCCTCTGGTTTCCTCCCACAGCTAAAGACCCCTATGCGCAAACGAATTATGGAAATAAAATTGAACCATATGACCTAGTTTGTGTCGAGTGGATGTTAAAACCCATTTCTCTCTCTCTTTCTCTCTCTCTGTTCGCAAGTTACCCCTGTTTTCTTAAAACATCGATTTTGGAGATGCCTCTCTATCTTTTTTGTGACCCTTGATTTTTATATTTGGAGTGAAGTAATGGGATGAACCCTAATGATTTTTAAGGCATTGCTGCTGTGTGACTATCTAATTATAATTTATCCTTCAGTTGTTGATTATAGTTATATAGTAGTACTGGAGATGAAAATGTAGTAGACTTGTGTTATATGAAGCTCTACATACTATTTGAATTTACTGACTTTAAATGATAGATTTAAATTAATTGTATCATACTTATTTTTAGTGATATTTTAAGTCATGTTTAAGTAACTTCATTTGTAATTTGTAATGTGTTAGTATTTTGATTGGTATTTTTCAGACTCGATGAAGCAGAAGTGAACTTGAAACAGTGTGTGATTGATATGAAGTTATGTCAGTCACCTACAAGCCATTATTATCTGTTGTCTCTAGCAACATTAGGAACATTTTATAAGATATTACACAGACCCCAAGAGGCTGTCATTTTATTAAAAGAAGCTGTGTCAAATGTTGGTGAGTTGTGCTGTACATGTACCAGTAATATGTTTCTGATGGCAAAGCATTATTCCTGAGAATTCATTAATTTGTGAAATTCCCCCTTCAAGCATGGTCTAAATGTTTCTCTACCAGGCAGATTTCTGTCACAATATCTATATTAGATGATTCGTGAAAATCTAATTAGTATTTTGATTAGTATTTTTGAGACTCGATGAAGCCAAAGTTTCTAATATAAATATTTTGTTACAATGTTATTAATATTTTTACTGGCTTCAGTATCAATATAAATACTATACTCTTCAAAAAAAGTAGGGGGTAATGAATTGCAAATACCTATGCAGGTTGTGATATGATAAATAGTCATGGACATTTGACATGCTTTGAGAGTAATGAAGAACTTATCGCCCCAACAGAACCACCATACACGTGGGAGGGGTTCATTGTCAAATTTGACACTTCAAGGAAGGGTTGATGAAAACTGCCGCTTGCTGGTTTATCCTATCCATGTTTGCTTTCCTATCGGTTCTTGCATAAGATTTACTATTTAGCGTATCTTTGCTTTAGTGTGTTACATTTAATTTGATCGGGAGATGGCAACCGACAACACTGCATGAATTGGGCGTGGCACTGCAAGAGGAGTGGGTCAGATTGCCCCAAATCGTGATTGGACGGTTGATTAGGAGCATGCCACGATGAATTGCTGAATGTCTGAGGATTGGTGGAGCAATTACTCATTATTAAGACAAAAATCAAAAACGTCTATTTTTATCTCTTTGCGAGTGAAATGGGGCCGTCAGATAAGCCGCCCATATGAACTGTTTATGTTCATGTATAGGCAATTGGCCTGTTATTAACATACACTGGTTACCCTTTTTGAAGGGTATATAATATGATGACTCACAAGAAAAGACAATTATTAATACAAAATTGCAATATTTCTCAATATTATTCAGCCTTCTCATTATTTCCAGTTAAACCCTAAAACACTTGCATGAAAATAGAATATTTGTTTCAGAAACTTATGGGGTTTATCAAAGATGGATACATGTATGTTACGAACATCTAGCTGCCTGTTATAAATCTCTAGATGATCTCGAGTCCTATCACCATACACAGCAACAACTACAGATATGGCTTGAAAACAATCCAAATGAAACCGGAATGATCAAAATTGGTGTTTTGGATTCACTTACACAGCCATACCACCAATTCCTGGAAACCTTTGACCTTTGGGGAACAAAAATGAAGAGAGTGAAACATCAGTTGACAGATGTTGTAACACATATAGATTCAAATAATTCTAAGATATAAAATTAAATTCTATTTTGATGGTAGTTAGAATTTGTCTTTTTTTTTTATCTAGTCTAGAATTTATTATCTTATTAATTTTTTCATGTTATCAAAAATTTAGGAGTTACAATCCCTCCATTATAATTTTAAATATGTATGGTTGTCTGTATATTATGTATAGTTTTTATATCAAATCTCCCTAGATTAATCTGAACAGCAAAATATTTTGATCGCTCGATCCATAATATTGATATCCATAATAATTCACTCATCTTCACTATGATACTGTTCTGTTATTATGGGAATTGGCCATTTTGAATGTACAGCGCAAAACAGGATGACAATCATAAGAATACTGAATCGAGTGTATTAACTAACGTGTGGCCAGGTGGTAATTGAATGAATCCATCGACAAAATATAAGTCTTTACGATTGAGGTACTGTTCGATTGATCTCGTCTGTATGTCTTCATCTCACATTTTATAGCTAACCTCAACCTTGTTAAAATAAACAGCATTATCTAAGCATGGTGCGACAGAATATGCTTACTTTTATTATTATATAATATACCTATCAAAAACGTTTCTAATTGAATATTTTATTTTATATGATCTTACATTTCTATCTTAATTTGTTTTTATTGTTTTATATAGTCTTATGTTTTACATTCTGTAGTAATTATCCATAGCTAATGTAATGTTAATGTATTTATTCCATTATCTCTTCAAGATATTCATAATTACCGATATTACTGGCCAACAAAAAAAGTCTGTACTGTAAATGCTAGAGATATTCAGTCAAAACAATCAACCAGAGGAAAGCTCTAATATGCAGAAACAAATTATTTTATTAATATATTATTTATATATGGTTTACATGTTATTGTTTGTTAAACACATTGTTATTTTTCTACTTGTATTATGATTTATTTGGTAGTTATCTTATATTTATTGGAATACATTGGTTTCATTAGATGTATATACTATTAAACAGCATTAATGGTTTTTAAATATTCTAAAATAATGCAATATAGTTAAAACTATATTGCATTATTTTAGAATATTTTTTTATTGAATAATATATTTAACTTTATATTTTTTAAAAGTAAAAAAAGGTTTCTGTGATATTATCGATCTATTAATTGTTAATGTTTATTATTATTAGTCCCCAGTATTGTTCTAAACTTTGTTTATTATCAATAAAACTTCCTATATTTATTTAACATGTCTATTCATCCGGTTTCCATGACCAGTTCAAAGGCAACATCTCTTCCACTAAATTTCGTTTTCTATGGCAAAACATTTTGTGTAGAAATGAACTAGAATGGTGTTTTAGTTTTAAGAAAGTATTATGCAGTTATGAAGACATCATTTAGCTGTTGTATCATTTCTGTATGAAACATATTGATTACATCAACTCCATTACTTGATGAACAAATCACATTATTTAATGTGTATTGGTGTAATATTACTACACTTCTAATACACTAACTATTACACATTATACTTGGTCTGTGTTCAGTATACCGTTGGTGAAGTGTCAAAAGGGTGTATCTAAGAATTTCTAAAGATGAAGAAATAGAACCTTTTGCATTTCAAAATTTCCACAGATCCAGATACAACATTTGGACACATGATACCCAGAACAGTTCTAATTGCGTAGTGGTATACAGCTTATACAGAAATGTGCATATTAAATTGTGAGATTTTATAAATGCAAAAAATGTGTATTTGACTAATTTCCCGAGATACACCCTTTTGACACTTCACCGACGATACAAATTATAGCCACATAAAAAATAATGGCGCCAATCCTCTTAGAATTAGGGAATTAAATGGGGTTCAAGTTCTACTTTACTGCACCAACTGGGCTAAGGAAGACAGGCATACTCTATACAGTATGCTATGACAGAAATTTTGCCCGAAAAGCAATTGAATTCCAACTGTCAAGGCTTATTTTACAGGCATGGCAATGTGTACACATTGTTATCCCACAAAACAAATCAACATATAAACTCCAATGAAAATCGACAATTTTATTTTTGAATTAAATTCGTTGGGTTTTTTAATTAAATTTATACACAAACTTTTTCACTAACAATTTGAAATTCCAAAATATGTGCATAATTATGTGAGTACCATCTCATTCTAATATAATTTACAAAAAATTAATTTCAAACCATACCATAATACACCATTATCATGTATAAGTTGACAATAGAGCATTAATAAAACAAAATTGCAGTTCATAGAATATTGAGCTTTATTGTCAAATATAAAATGCTAGTTACCGGGTTATGAAAAGACTAGATATGAAAATATATTACTATCATACAATCTACATATTTCTAGCATACAATCTATGTTTAATACATGTCATTTAAAAACAATAACATTATAAGGATATATCGATAAAGCACAACTCAAGTTAACATGAAAATATAGGGAACATAATGAGGCAAGACTAATTATATTTACAATACAAAAATAATAAAAATTTAGCACTATCAAGGACATTGTTTAACTTATATCAGGTATGACATACACATTTTTAGTCTTGTTATGTAACTATTCTGCTGCGCAAGTGTTCTAATAAAGTTGGGGTTCCTTTAGCTAGAATAGCTGGTCGTGGATTACGAAACAAGTTTCCGGCTATCTGTAAAGATCTGTAATTAAACAATGATTACTAATAAAATTGGATTTAACTATCTAACATGTGAACTAATGCCATGAACTACGTTTAAACAAAAAGAGTGACAGTGCTTGAATGGCCAGTCCAGAATCCACAACTGTAAAATTTCTATCAAATGGAAGCGACATGAAATGAAATGAGGTTTAACGTCCTACTGTTCTGCTCCGAACTGGGCTAATGAAGACGTGCATACAAGGTGCTATGAGGGAAATTTTACCGAGACAGTGGCACTACGGCCTACTTTTATATCGAATTCCAACTGTCAAGGGATCTTTTACGTGCTCGCCAATGAGTACATGGTACCTCGTTTTTTCATCCAATCAGAACGACTAGATAGCTGTCCTTGTTAGGCCCTCCGTCCTGCATCACTGACAAGGGGGGGGAACCACGCTGGAAAATCTAGATGAACTCTTGGCCAATGCAGGGATCGAACATCCGACCTCCAGGCTAGCGAGCCAGCGTCTTACCCACTGTGACCCCCACAAATGGAAGTAGCATTGCAAAGAGAGTGAAGAAAGATCTCACAACCAGTCATTCAAAGGCTTATCTCTCTGTGTGGCTGCTAGAGATGGATACACTTGTTACTGAATTTTGATTTTTACTCCTTGTGGGTACACTTCACTGTAAAGTAAAATTGTTTTGGCTTCTGTGGGTTGTTGATTTTCTTGTGTGGAACATGTGCAGCCTACAATCATGCCAAAAATCACATTTTACCTACATGGTCTCCCAAGCACTTTCAGTCAAATCAGTTTTCATTGTATCTTGAGTATATTTACATTACACTAATACCGGATAGTGTAATGGTCATATATATTCAACTAAGGGCATAAAGTGCACCAAAACTTCTGGCGCAACTTCTGCTGCTCACTTCCTTAGCACTAAAAAGATGTATTAGCTTTATGAGTCTATAGCTGAGTTTGTTACAGTGTGTACATCTGAATATTAGGTAAGATCATAAAAAATTATTTGATGCTATTAGTGTGTTGAAATATTGTGATTGGTGCGATGTCTATCAAATGTTTAATTTCGAAATTTAACCCAACCCACTCAGAATTCATTAAGACATGCACTCAAGCATGGCTATTTCAGCGATTATAAAACTTACTTTAAAGGACAATTGCCTAGTTCAGGTGGTACTTGACTGATATTATTGTTCTGTAGATCTAACGTAGCTAGTACAGGTAGTCTCTTTAACCCATCCACATCAATAACTTCTATCTTATTATCACTAGCAAATAATATCTCTAACTTCTTTAATTCAAAAACAACCGATGGTATCACAGTAAATCTGTTAAATATAATATATTAATAAATTATAAATGAGAGAATAATGTATAGGAGTATAATATCTTACCAACACAACAATTCAGTCATTTACAGTTGAATATATCGGTTTTCAATCTTCATGTATATCACAATTTTCTCGGGGCAACAGATCTTTGATGTATTACATCATTTGGTGTGCTATAAAACGTAATCTTACTTCAGTTTTTCATTTCACCCAAAAGACCTCACAAGTTTATATTCTTACAGGTTCTAACCAATGATGGAGATTTATCTAAAATATTAAATTTACCTGTTGCGTGATATTATGATTTCTCTGATATTTTGTAAAGATGATATTTCTTTAGGTAGATCAGTCAACATATTATTCCTACAAATAAAGAATTAATGATACATTATAAGAGTAATTTGGTTGCTTGGTTTATAGGCTTAACATCCGTTTCCAGACAAATTTTGTGGTATGTACTGATACATGGTTAACTATACGTAATTTAATTACATATTATCTATTTACTGATCATATATGTGTGTATTTAATAATTTAACCAAATCACAACTCATAAAGATTGTGTTTATCTATGTGGTGATCTATTGGTCTATGTATGGTTTGTGTATTGAACACATTTTGGGTATGTATACTGACTTTGTATATTCATCCCATGAAGAATGTGTATATCACATCACACCCCAGGAAGATTTTGTGTATTGAACACATTTGTGTATGCTGACTTTGTGTATTCACCCCATGAAGATTGTGTACATTGATCTATGTGTATTGAATAACTACACATTTTCAAATTAGGTATTTACTAAGAAGTTTATTAATAATACACAGCTTAATTAAGACACCTGCAGTGTGGTCTTATTGTGTATTGTGCTGTATGGCCCATTTTCAACTTACCCTAGATCTAAACACACTAGTCTTTTAAAGGCACTTATTTCAGAACTTAATGTTGATATCTTGTTCCAGTTTAAGTGAAGTTCTGTGACAGTATCACTTAACAACCTAAGACTGATAAAAATTAAATTATTTTAGTACTATTACAATTTATGTAATAATGAAATATGTACCATTATCAAAATTTCCTTTAGCAATCAACAATAGGTTGGCAAAATAAAATTTATAACTGCTATAATTGAGTGGCATTTAGCAAATCGAGCACAATAAAAAACACCACACAATTTATATGGAAATAATCACTGGTTTATAAACACATAGAACAAAGTTTCGACAAGTGTTCTCTTATCACAATTCATCACAATTTTGAAGGGTTATTTTTTTGTGATTGTTGAAACGTTGTGCTATATGTGTACAAAGCAGTGATTGTTTTCGATATAAATTGTGTTGGGATTTATCTATAAAAAGTTATAAACTGACTATAAAAAATGTTGAGAGAATGCAGTGACAAGAAAAGCCCTTTGGCTTAATGGGCAAAAACTAAGAATTTTATTCTTAAAAGTAACATACTTGCTTGGTAAATCTGTAAATATATTTTTATGTAAATTGACTACTGTGACATCAGCTTTTTGAGCAGCCTCCAGTATATCAGCAGGAATCTCTGATGCTTGTTTTTGGCTAAAATAAAGATTTTCACTATTGAACAACTATAGCCTCAAAAACAAACCCTACTTAAAAGAGTTCTTCCAAATCCCCAAATTTCAAGAATAATAATGCTACAGTCATATAACTTTGCAGTTTTAAATTAGTTTGTATTCACTATAACATATATTTTTTTTCAAAACATTCTGTGGGGTCACATGACATGGAATGACCCTGTACATATTTTTCGTATGGGATAAATATACTCAGCCAAATTAAAAACTTGACACTCAGGATTTTTGGGACTAGATTTTTAATATTTGGTTTAAGGAAACTATTTTAGTGTTATGTTGTGCACAGACGACCTTGACATCAACAGAAAGCAAGAATACGTCTCGCCGAAAGTCCTTGACATTGATAACGTTCGTGATGTCACAGTAACCCCCAAAATGAAATTCACAGACTTGGAGAACAATCGGAATAAAGTGTTTAGTAACGGTTGTGGCCTCCTCTCGTACTGCCACACAACGTCTTCTCATGATCTCAGAACATTAGTAAACACTACCCGAGGACGACGTCGCCACTGCTCAGCAAGAGCATGTTGAAGGTCCTGCAACGTCAGTGGTGGATTTACTTGCTGACGAACACGTCGACCCAGTTCGTCCCAGATGTGTTCAATAGGATTAAGGTCGGGGCTAAGCGACGGCCAATCCAGGACTTGGACACCGGCATTTCTGAAAAAATTCTGGGTAGCAATTGCTGTATGGGGTCGAGCATTGTCTTGTTGAAACGTTAGTCCAGGCCCATGTCTCTGCATAAACGGAAGAAGAACCGGTTGCAAAATCTGATCCCTGTACTTGACAGCATTTAAGTTCCCTTAGACAACAACAAGAGGAGAACATACATGTGCACAAAAAGAACCCCAAACCATGACGCTGCCGCCACCAAATGGGTCAACTTCCCTGACGCATACTTGAGCGTAACGTTCACCTCGTCTGCGGTACACTCGGACCCTGCCATCGGCAAATCTCAAAGTGAATCGAGATTCGTCACTAAAGACAACCGAATTCCACTGTCTTTGAGTAAATCTTATGTGTCTTGTGGCCCACACAAGTCGGTTACGGCGATGAAGAGGTGTCAATATTGGTCCATTATAGGGCCTCCGAGTTGAAAACCAGCAGCCTGCAAGCGATTTCGAACAGTTTGTGCAGTTATCCTTCCACCAAACATCTCTCTACTTGTGGAGGTTACAGTGACAAATCTGTTTCTAAGGTGACGTAATCGTATTGCTTGATCTTCCTGGAGTGACGTCACACGTGGCGCTCCCGCCCTTGGGCGGTCAGCAATAGTTCCAGTTTGAAGCACCCTCATTCTAACATTAATTATTGTCTGGCGTGAACAATTAAAGGCTCTTGCAGCAGTGACCACAGACTGACCAGCATAGAGCCTACCTATAGCATGTAGACGTTCTACATTTGAAAGGCGCGGCATTTTCTAACAAAGATGAAAATAACAATTTTAATTTGTTTTTCCAGTTCAAGTTACGTGTGCGTGTTCAGTTTAAGCAAACTTGCATCGATTGACCTCACGAGTTTGTGTTTGCACGTGTTTTTCAGGTTTTTCATCTTTCTATGCTCAAAAGTCACATGATCCACGTGACTTTACAATTTTATGAAATTAAAGGCTTCTTACTACTTACTATCGTTAGAAACACTTTAAACTTTATTTGACTTACCAGAAAAAAAAATTTGTTGAAATTCATCAGTGTCAAGTTTTTAATTTGGCTGAGTATATTTTCAATCACCAGTATTCAGCAATATAAAATATTCACCTGTAATCCAATGTTTTCATTTGGCACATTTCATGTGAACTGACCGATTGATTACCACCTATAATACCAGTATTACCACCAGTAGCCATGTTATTTTCATTTGATACTGGCTCCTCTATTCTACTTGATAAATATTTTTTTAGTTCCACAGTTCCTCTCTAAACAAAAGCACAGACAAAAAGGTATAAGTCATATGTCTGTATTATTTAAAAGATTATAAATACACTAAGCAATTTAAAAACAAAATTAATTTCCTTTTCTGACTTAAACTGTCCATCTGCTGAATACAAAATGATATCTCAACAGTGACGTTATCTACAGTCACTGAACTTCTAAAAAAAACAATTTGATGACAAATATGCAAAGACAAAGAATCACAGACAGTTTCCATCCCAGAAGTCTCTGTTTTAAATTTTCAAAAGTGCCAGAAAGTCTTTGATATCAGACTTTGATGTTTTGGTTGGTATGAAGATTGAGGCCAGTTAATGGTATTATCACATCACTCAAGTAATACAGTAGAAACATGTTCAATTATTACTGTCATTTTATCAAATAAAACTGACCATTTTCCAAGGGGGGTGTTGTTTTTTTTTTTATCCCATTACTATCTTAGTGTACCTGCTGTATAAGAATTTTGGCTGATAGAACAGGAGTTTTTTTTTTCAGCTCCCAGTATAGGTAATAATAAAATTTTCAGACAGAAGAACAATTGAAAATCACAACTACTATATTTGTACACTATCAGATAGAAATAAATTGAAATGAGGTTTAACGTCCTACTGTTCTGCTCCAACTGGGCTAATGAAGACGGCATTTTTTAATAGATTAGATGTTTCAGTTTGATATTCATAATTTGAAATTAGATGGGATATCCCAGTTTCGCGAAAGTGACCTTCACCTTTAAGTTGATGTATAATTTGTCTGGAACAGGGAATCTAAATTGATCAGAAGGAGGTGCAAAGCTGTCCATTAAATATAGGTGAATTTACCCAATAATATTTTAATATTTACCATTATAATATCCCTTCTAATAGATTTCATGGGATTTCCTTCCAAAACTAAAGACTTCAAGGAGACAATAGTTCCTAAACAATATGGTAAACTGGAATAAAAATTCAAATAATTCACAATTAATTTAATCACATTCAAATAGATTAGTTACAAAAAGAAAAGTGATGATAGATGCTTAACATACCAAGATGCAACTTAACAGTCCGAGAATCAAGAAGCTTGGCAAATGACTCTACTGGTATCTACATGTATGTAGCAGATCTGGCTTCAAAAACCACAGCTTTGAATCACTCCATTTAGCCATAAAGAGTAATGGGTGTTGTGCAAAGCCAGGCCACACTCATGTTTTCTAATCCATTACTCAATAATTTGTGTTCTAGGCCACTTCCCAATACTCTGTATTCTAGACAACTACTCAGTACTCTGTATTCTAGACAACTACTCAATACTCTGTATTCTAGACCACTACTTAATACTTCATGAAATTTGCACAGCCCATAATTTCTTGTACTTTTGTATTTGAACTTACCTACTTAAATCATTATTAGTTATATCTAATCTCTGTAATGATTGTAGTAGGGTTATTTCATCTGGTAATTTAGATATCTTATTATCACGTAGATCTAATACATTTATAGATGTTAAATGTTGTAAATGTTCACTAGTTATACCCATAATATTATTATTACCAACATGAAGTTCCTGTCAATAAATAAACAAACAAATATTATTGTATAAGTACAATGAACTATTGACTTGGTATTTGCATTAAAAGCTAGAAATGATATCTGTTGGCAAATCAAATGAACTTTTCTCTATGTGTTTTAAAGGAGAAGAAGAACTGATATCTTTAATTAAAACGTCGACTCTTTTCAATTTATTGACAGTAATAGTAAACTATTTAACAAAAGGTCCCTCAGTAAAGTCAACAAGCTCGAGCAAGAATAAAATCATCGCAGGCATCTTGGAACTGTGATGCCATATCAAAAGTCTGTCAATTAGTGTTAGTCCTGAAATGACCTAGTTTGTGTTGAGTGGCCATTAAACCTCATTTGTCTCTCTTTCCCTTAGAAATAAGATTATAGGACTTTATATACATCTGAAATGTAAAATTGAATGTTTTTGAGAATCATTATAGAATGAATATCAACAAAGCTATTTTCTTTTATACATACCTTTAATGATACACAATTTTCTAGAACTGGTAAATAGGCCAGTTTATTATGACGTAGATAAAGTAACTCTAATTTACGTAGATTACCAAATTCTTGTGGAAGCAGTGTCAGTTCATTATGAGTAGCATCAAAATATTTCAGGCCTGGATTAAAAATACCCAGAAAGTGTTGATCATTAATAAACACCTGATTCTATTCAACAAACTATTCCCAATATTCAATTGTTTTAAAGCTGGAATGGATCAACATTTTTGTTCTGCAAGGTAGGACATTGTGTATTGACAAAAAAGACCTATTTTAAATAATTCTAATCAGATACTTCACTATTTAATTATTAACTTTTATTTTTACACCTTTAAATGTGGGCTTCCACTTTAAAATGTTTAATAACAAATGGACACTTTGCAAATTAAATTCATATACCTACTTATGGTCAGTGTCATGAATTTAGGTGTCTATAAAATAAAAGAAGAATGCTTAAACTCACCTGACATATCCCCTATTTCTGGTGGTAATGATTTGATTTTATTATTAGAAACATTAAGTTTAACCAGGTTTACAAGATAACCTAAAGCTGTGGGTAAAACTGTTAGCTGATTATTAGATACGTCCTGAAAAATATATTTAAAACCAATGATTAAATACATTCATTTGTATAATAATTTCTAAAATCGATGAGTTCATTCCAATTTCGAATTCTATAGTCCCAGTACAGGTCTATCTTTCTAGGATAGGTCTTTCTCCCTGAGTTCCTATCATTTGACGGCATCTCAGTATTCATCTTCCATGCACTGATCAAAAACATATAAAATAATTATTACTTTAATTATAATAACTAATCTGTGTGTTTGAAATTCCATCAATTGTGTTATGGTCATATATATGGTTTGAGAGATCAAATATAAAACTGTAATTATCGTATATATCTGTTGGCACTAACAATGTAGTTGAAAATTCATCAGATCTACCATTCAAACAACTGGTACTAAAATTAATATTACCAAATCTTCAATTTTTTGTAGACACTTGATTTCTTCACAGAGTTGTGTTAGCTGATTATGTTCTACATGGAGACTGACCAGAGTTCTTAAATAACCAATAGATGACGGTAGGACCTTTAACTTATTACGACTAAAATATAAATAACAATTTATAAACAATTATTCATTAATCATCAGAATAAGTTGATAGTTAATCCACAAACAGTGTTTGTTTTCGAGCCCAAAACTTTTGATGGAAGCTTACTATTGTCAAAAGAAATATTATGAGCTTCTAAATTTGTTGGGAATAATTGTGTTGTATTAAATTTGGGTGTCCACCGACCTGATGTTCGTTATTTGGTGCTCATTGGTTTGATGCTTGTTGGTCCAACAATCTTTGGTCCAAGGAAGGTGGACTGTTAGATTACTTAAATATCAAGATGCCATAATAAAAGTGTTTTAAGTTATTATAGTAGATTCATGTAAGCATTCTTTAAATTCATTATTCATTCAAAGATCCAAGTCATTTTTAAATCAGGCTTACCTTACATCGAGTTTCTGTAGATTTTCTAAAGCTTTGAAGGCTGCTGGTAAACTTTCTAAATTGTTATCATGAATCTGTATGAATAAAGAATTTTTAAAGATACCTTCCCACGTACAAACTGGGTGATCTGGGTGATTTGATGATATATTTGGACTAAAATCATGTTTAAACTAATTAATCTATCAAAATTTTGCTTCAAATCCTTCTCAAAACATTGTATTCACAATAATACCCAAGTAATAAAAAATCTATTAAAAGAAGTCATGTTTGTGTCACGTGACTTGGCTGTCAAGGTACCTAGCAACGGGTGCGAAGCTTGAGGATATAAAAGACGATGTCCATTTATCAAATATCGGAGCCTAAATAAATTCTCAGATTATCCCCTGCCCATGTCTTTTTCTGCGTTTTTTAACTCAGAAAATGTTGTACATTTAAGTCCCTCACGTTTTCCTAGTCCACTCACCATCAAGTCTATCAACATATACATCAAGCGCTCTATAATCTTGATAGATCAGATAATTTTCAAGTACAACCTTTAATTTCACTGAAGCAGACAGCCCTTAATCGTCAGTCTGCCAATTTGTGACACCCTCTCATTTTTGTCCCGTGCAGGCTCCATGGGTGTTTTTCAAGGAATCCAGTATTTTTCTAGAAAGATTGGGTGTATACCAAAATTGCCATACTTTCATTGGAAACAGGCCTAACCACCCGACAAACACTTTAGTGGGAAAGTATCTTTAAATGGTTATCATGATACCAAAGCTATCCAATATAAAGTACACTTCATGCTAATTCAAAAGTGGCGCTAATTTTTTAAAAAAATTCATTAAGAATGAAGTAATGACATTTTAGCACATTTGAGGTCTCTCCATTGCCACTAACCAAATAATTTGAGATTTGTTCTTATCGACAAAATGAGTTCAATTTGAGGGTTTGGGCTGGGGAATCAAAATAGATTGTATGTCAAATTAGAGACAAACTGATCAATTCATTCCTGACTTTTTATGTAAGGCATTGACAGCTAACATTGTCAATTTTGGTCATCCATGGTAAATTGCATGAGCAATAATATCTGGTTATATCCTGCTTAATATATTTTGTTGATGAATAAACCGCGTTCTTACTGGGTCATGGTAAGCTTGTATTACTAGGTTGTTGTACTCATCAGCTAGGTCCTGAGAGATATTGGTCTCCTTAACATAGTTCTATATTTCAGTATTTGATGCATTACAGGTATGTTTGTACTGTGCACTTGGCACAACAGACATTGTGACAAGCATAATAAATGCTCTAAATAAAGGAAACTTACATCAAGAACAGTTAAGGCGGGAAAGTTGCTGATATCATCCGGTATAGCTGTTAAAGTATTTGATGCTAAGATGAGTTTAGTTAAATCAACTTGATCCCACCATCTATTTTCAGCATTATCCAATGAAACATTTTTTGCTTCTTCTGGTACATCAATATTTATTCTCCATACTTTGTCAGGTACTGTATATGAAAGTACCATAGAAAATTGTTGACCATGTGAACTTTATAACAAATTTGATAAATATTCACTGTTTACTCCTTCTATTAAAAGGGCATTAGGTAAAATAGATAAATTAATCCCACTCAACTCTCTAATCAAATAATTAATACAAGACAACAAAACAACGGACTAAAGGCGTATTTATGTTTGTAAACGCCCAAACTCATTACTCGGTCCAAGAGCAATAGCTTATTCATACACTAATTTTGAAATGTCATAAAAAAAAAACAGACACCGTTATGATAGACAAGCCTTGCTGTCACCCCCTTGTACAAAATGATCTATCCCGATAAGTGACCTAATTAGCTTCCATTTCTGTGCGAGGGAGAAAGAGAGGGTTTAACGTCCACTCGACACAAAATAGGTCATTTCAGGACTAGCATATGGTTCAATTTTATTTCAATAATTCGCTTACGCATAGGTGTCTTTAGCAGTGGGAGGAAACCAGGGACCCCAAAAAAACCCACAAGGTTGGACAGGCAACCCTACTCTTTGTCACATACAACCAGGGAATCGAAACCACACCAGTTGACTCAATGGCAGACTTTATGATACAACACGCACGCGCTAACCATTTGGCCATCCACCCCCCTCCATTTTTGTATTTCTCGATGTCCAAGTTAGTGAGGAGTTCAATTTTACAAGAGACTAAGAGAGAAATTTAGTAGACTGACAATCAATTGTTTCCAAATTAATTTTATTGTCTTCAGTTGCCATTTTTGTTGCCCAAACTCAAACGATTGGAAAGGTCGCGCGTTGTTGTGATTGCAGCAGACGTGATTGTCAAAATTTGTCAACCATTTACCCCTTCAACATATTAAGATGGTTTAGCTTATCATGCCACATGTACAATGTTATGATGAGCTTATTCGAAAATACAAGCAAAAACATTGACTTTTCAAGAGAGAACTTTTTTTTTCGTTGGGATATTCAATTGTGCAATGGATTTTATTCAACCAGAGGCAGAGGTGATTTCAAACACATAGGCAAGTTTTTAGTAACAATTATTCAGTAGTTTGTTCACAATCGACGAAATCCGTTTATAATTTACCACGGTTCAGACAGTAGGCCTACCTGTCGCTAAACCTCGCCCAGATAAATTCAACTGTCCACTTTGCCTGGCTTGTTTTAGAATTGCAGAAGGAACACCGTCACTTGAATTTTCTTTTTCATTCTGTTGTCGAAAAGCTGATTTGTTAAATGGAACCCTAGCTCCACGTCCACGAGATGTCATGTTTACTAATACAAAAAAACGAGGTTTAAAATGTTAAATGTCATTTAGTTTTACTTCTGTTTATCCACACACAGAGTTTACAAATTGTGAAACATAAACACGAGAGAAGAATTTTTCGCGGGAGATAACTCCCGATGTCATCAGGTCTCAGACTAGCAATTATTTGCATCGACTGTAGCTTTTTGTTCAACATTCGGTTGGTTCCAATCTTTATAGGCACAATGGGGAACACATTTGGCAATCTCCTCATCATAACTTTGTATGGGGTTGACTGTTTAGATTTTTTGCTACGAGGATTTGATGTTGGCCCAAAGACTGGGGTCAAAATCTCACACAATGATCATGGGCGTGGATTTAGGGGGGGGGGGGGAATAGGTCTCTGTCCCCCCATGATTTTGATCGCCAGGACAGATTTTCAGGTTTATATCCACATGAATGTCCCGTTCTGAAGGCTATCTAACCACTGCTTGGGTCTCGCCACAGTTATTCATCTTCACGATATCTTCCCTAATTTATATATAATTTATATCTCTAGTTTTCCGGCCATTTTCCAGTGGTATTTATTTATTGTGGTGTTTGTTTTAATTTAGCTTGTGTAATATAGCTCTTCCTTACTGGTATATGTTATAATTAAGACACATTTTCAAGGGTATGTTTAGTTTTCTTGTTCTCCTCTTCTTTCTAAATGTTTTTAAATGTATTTAGTTCGTATTTTATGGTTTTTTTGTATATTTATTTCTATTTTGATTATGTTCTGTTTGGCATGCTTGTAATCTATTTGTATTTATTTATATTTTCAGTGGGTTTTTTTTTTATTTTGGTATTTGTGGTTGTTTCTGAATATATAAACTGTTTAAACCAGTGCTGTTTATCTCCTCTATAAACTTAAAATCCCCGAGTCATAAAGCTCCGGCTATAGATACACAAACTGCCTCTCAACTCTCATATCATGAATATTCACCAAAGCCCGTCCTCGGTATCCCCAGTGTTCTCATTTTGTTCTACCCCACTATACCCTGGGTTAATCCATAGGGTTTCCACGATTTCAAATTATTTGCCCTGGCCTTGATTGTATGATTGTAGCTAAAGTCTACGAACCAATCAAAAAGCAGTTTACAAACCAGTCGTTTCGCCTTCGTTTTTATAAGGGTAGATAACCATATTCATGTCCATTTACTGAATGATTTATGTAAATAATGTATACATTTCTAATTCATTTATATTTAATTGTATTATCAAAATCTGTAGTAAGTTTCATTCTCTTATGTTTATTATTATTGAACTTGGCTAGCACACTGTATGGCGTATGCCCGTCTTCCTTAGCCGAGTATAGGAGCAGAACAGTAAGACGTTAAACCCCATTTCATTTTATTTCATTTTCACGTGGACGTAAACCTCCGGGAACGAACGATTCTCAATAAAACTGTTGAGCCTACATATATTTAATTGTCCGGTCTTCATTAATATAATATTTTATAATTTGTTGTTAATAAATATACATTTAGAATAATTTGGACTTCTATCATTTAGGCTAACTCCTAGCCTTGTCCGACAAGAGTTATTGTCCTTTGCAATTAACGATTTATGGGATTGGTCAATAAAAATAGCACAATCATCAAGGGCGAATATCTTGAAATCGTGCCCCCCCCCCCCATAGATTAACCCAGGGGTTAGTGGAGTAGAACGGAATGAAACCACTGGGGATGCCGAGGATGACCAAAGCCTGGCAGAAAATGTATTTTCAAACCTTTTACTTCGATTCTACACCAAGAAGTCAACAAAAATCACCATGGGAAAGGGAAAAGGGAAGGACTAAAAATAGCTTTGGCCCTTATTTTGTGGGTGACGGGGTAGGAATATTAATTGGTGAGCTGTTTCCCGATGACCACAAAGGATACGGTGAAATTATATTCGTCTCCAAACAGTATTGTCTACATTGTATCCGTCTTGATAGCCTCGTTTGTCACGTAATTAGTTTTTCTGCAATATTCTGCTATGCACTGGTTAATTGGGCATAATAAAATCGTGAGTCATGACGTAACGTTATGTAAACATATTTGGTCCAATTTGGAGCTCTGTTTAAAGCTCAGGGCCTAATGATATTGTTACGCAGTTAGCTATTAGTTGTTAATCGGACTATTGACCAGTCATAATTTGGTACAGAAATCTGCTTCCTTTACAGCAATGTTAAGTGGGATTAGCTCTAATCAAACCATAGATCGTATATAGTTATATGATCAAACGAAACACTGCGAGGAGTATGGGCTAGAGGGGGAGATAACTACTACCAGCTTATTATAATTGACTTACTGACATTACTTTGGGTGAGCTTGGGGTCCCGTGTTCGATCCCTGCGTTGGCCCAGAAAGTTCATCAGGATTTTTGCGGCGTGGTTCCCCCTTGTCAGTGGTGTAGGAAGGGGGACCTGGCAAAGGACAACGTAGGTTATAGTCGTTCGGATGGGACGGAAAACCGAGGTCCCCTCTACACATTGGCGTGCACGTACGTAAAAGAATTCTTTACAGTTGGAATTCGAAATAAGAGTAGGCCATAGCGCCGCTGTCCCGGCACAATTTCCTTCATAGCACACTGCATGGCGCATGCCTGTCTTCATTAGCCCAGAAGGAGCAGAACAATAGGAGCTAAATATGTAAAAGAACCAAGAACCCCTGCAAGAGTAGGCCGAATACCGCTGTCTGGGCAATATATTCAAACTCATCATTTACTGTTACTTTAATGAAATGACTTCACTACTTGTAACTATATTGCTTGACAGTTGGAATTCGACCGTACGCCGTATGCCTGTCTTCGTTAACCCGGTCGGTGCAGAAAGGCCAAGGGACGACGTTAAACCCCATTTCATTTCATTTTAAATATCCATTGTTTACAATTTGTATGATACGATATAGTATAGTATAAACAAAATATTGATTATTACATCATTATTATAATTACCTTACAAAGCTCGAGTATCTGCAATGAGTCAATGACCAATATCTATACAGAGCATTGACACTCGTGTATAACGGAACAAACCTCTATATTGTAATTAGTTCCGTATGGAATCCCATTGCCAATCAACACAAACACGTTTTGCTGCTTTGATAAGTAATGCTAAAACCTTAATTTGCGGATAGGCTGCATAAAATTTATTAAAGTAGTGAATATTTCGCACTTGGTGTACTGAAAAGTATCAATTGCGATTAGTGGCATTATTAGGTGTTAGGACAAGCGTTGGTGTAACGCGCGGTTGACCCGGCCTTATTCGAGCACTAACTGGGAGCGGCGGTGGCTCAGTGTGGCACTAGCTCGCTAACCTACAGGTCCCAGGTTCGACCTCGGTGTTGACCGAGACAGTTTCTCGGTATTTTCCATAGTGGTTCCCCATGAGAGCGGTGCGTGGCGGACGGATTGGCAATAAACAACGTACAGTTCGGATGGGACAAAACCGAGGCCCCTCGTACACCCTGGGCAGTTGGAATTCGAAATAAGCCAGGAGCGCCGCTGAATGGACAACGGTTCTCCTCAGAGAACATTTTTTATTCCTTTGCCTGAACTTTAGCAGTGGAGTTCCCGTCGCTTTATTTTGAGAAAAATGAAACAATGCCTTTTTCTGGAAATTGAATTTTAACAATTATGCACTAAATTCAATACAGTTTTTTTTTTGTTAAACAGTACTACATCAACAAGGTACTTGTGCCCAGACTTCATTATCATCTGGTGTCCCAACTGGGTTATTGTAATCGATTTTACTTATCGGGTACTGACCTTGGTTCACTTAGTTTATATTATCAAATTAAGATGTGGATTCACCTATTTCATTCGCCAGTACATCAGATAGTTTTTGATCATAATACGGTCAGAGTGCAGAGGCGTTAGCCGGGCCGTTCAGAATACTGGCAATTTGACCCGAAACTAAGTAAATCTCCAGACAGTGTATCTAGTTTTAGTGTTGATTTGGAGGCGGGAATATATATCACTGGTTTCCAGGGGTAATGGTAGATACTTGTTTTTTTTTTCTTTTAGCTTGTCGCGTGTAGAGGAATTTCAATGGACTTTTGTCAATTGCTTGAAGGCTTTTCACCTCTCCTGTGATTAGCAAATCTATCATTGACGTCATACGTCACGTGAGGCCATTGTCGCGATGGCTTTGGTTCAATAAGTTGGAAACCAAGTAATAGTTTAGATGGCCATGCACATGGAGCTGTCAACGATTTTGTCAATAAAAGTCAATTTATTCTTTCTTTTTACTCATTGTTTTATCTCACCTTATAATGAAGCGGGCTAGCTCTTTCTGGATTTATCTTTAATCTCGCACAAACAAACTGGTTTATAAATCATTTCTTAGAATGAAAATACGCAAGGACCTTATTGAAAAATCGTTTAAATGGCGGTTTTTTTTTTGGTTTTCTTTTTTAACCTTCACAGGTTCCTAGCTAGTTTAGATGATTTTCCCAGTTTGAAATGAAATGAAATGGAGTTTAACGTCCTACTTTTCTGCACCGACTGCATGGGCTAATGAAGAAGGGTCCTCGGCCTTAACCCCTACCACTCACATACATATACATACATACGTACATAGGTATACATACACACGCCCACGAGATATTTGGTCCTTTACACTAAAAACTGTGTTTTCATGCAAAAACAAATAGTCACGGTCTTGTATCCCACTAATGTCCCGAGAGAAAAACTCCCTCCCACCTTAGCTACGCTACTGCAAGAACGGATTTCATTTCACCACGTTTAATAAAACAAGTGATTGCCATGAAAGAAACGCGCACATTTTGCAAGAGATGGACGGAAATCAGGGAAAATCAATAGGACACATCCTCTCATTGTTCCAATGCTTCACATCGAATTTGAAAACAAAATGTTAAAAACTTGTTCAAGATTTATGGTTATAATTTAGTTATGCCATACACATGCAGACAAAGGTTCAGTTTTTAAAATAGTGTCCTTGTTGGTATATATATATATATATATATATGGGCTCTGGTAAAGGTCATTGCATTGTTTTAAGGAACTTGCCGAAATTATGGAAAGTGAACAATGACCAAAATACACATTGTTTAATATAGTTTATTATAACATCTATATTCCTCACTC